AGGATCTTGTTTTTTTTTACCCAAAAAAAAAAAACAATCTTGTTTCTCTTTTGATTCGTTACTTCCAATTAACAGATTTCACGAATGCAATTTCAACACCAGTTCACCGGTAGCTTCTTCTTCGTCACGGTGAGATGCGTCTTCAGCAACAATTTCTTCTTCGCATGAATCACTTCAAATCTTGGTCAGATAAACAAAAGGGTAAAAATGTCAGATACAGTTATGTTTACATGTACAGTAATGCTTTTCACTATTGTAATACCTAAAACCGAATCTCTCTCCTCAAAAATGCCTATTTTTATATATCTCCCTTTTTTATTTTTTTTGTTGTTGTATATATATACATAAATTCAAGATGTTAAAACAAAAAAGCATATATAGATGTATATATAGAGAATACCCTATATATATGTATAAGCCCTAATTGACGACTGTATTGACTGTATCGTTACTTACAAACTAGAGTTTGACATTAGTGCTTGGTTTTGAATCCCCCATCGCACATTAATTACCGCTTTTTTCTTTTGTCTTCAATCCCATATTAAGACAGTAGTAAACAAACCTACGCAAACTCCAATTCTTATCCATATCTGTTTTTTTTCGTATAGCTAGGGCCATCCATATGTTTAAAGTTAAATTGATACTCTTAGTTGCACATGTCACTATAAACGAAACTTAAATTTAGCCACATCTATCGACTTAAAAAGTCTATAAAGACTACACCTTCCTCGCTTAATGGTTAAGACTGTAAGAAAAAGCACAGTTTTAGAAATTAAAGTTGGTGCATATTTATATATACGTCTCTGGTTTTTTAGTTTTTAGTTTTTAGAATATTCTCAGTTGCAAAATATATTTTCACACCTCGTTTATGTATTTTTTTTGTAACATTATGCTATCTATAGAAAAAAAGGAAAATACTGAAATCAGACGATGGAAGAGGCTGAAGAACAGTTATCACCAACCATATGTTCTTAGGATATTGTGATACTGGCAGGCATACCAACCGGAGAGTTCCAAAAACAATCTAGGTAAGAAGATTTACTAAACAAATCCCATCACCAAGAGAAAAAAAAGGAAAATAATAATCAAAGCAATGGTAACTTTATGGATGTTCGTTGAACTGAGAGATAAAAGTCAACTGTATATCTTTAACTACTTGTATTTTACTCTACGACTGAAGACTTTAGTCTCCAAGAACATAACAACAAGAAAGAAAAATAAGAGAGCTATATATGCATGTAAGATGATTCCTGGTAAACGCTCTTTAAATTGATTTGTAATTTATACACATACTAAAAATATAATATACTCCTTTCGGTTCTTTTAAAGTATTTTAGCAAAAAAAAAAAATTTGTTTAAGAATATAAATGATGTTTTCAAAATTTAACACAAAATTTAATATATTTAATATTTTTTAACCAATCATATTTTACATTATATTTTTTTATTGGTTAAATTTGTATTATTTAATAATATTTTTATGAAAATGGAGAAATTATATCTTTTATTAATTGGTGTGCTAAAATCTTAAACATTATTTAAATTGAAATGGAATAAATAACAAATATACCATAAAATACAACATGATAAATACTGATCAATCAATGCTGTAATAAACTAATACATTTTGTAAAATAAACGGATTCGTATTACTAATCTCACAAAAATACTTTTTTTTTTACGGTAAATAAAATAAGTCAAAGATGGTGGGGGGGGGGAGGAATCTGAGACTGAGAGAGGCCCGGAGAAGGAGAGAAGGTGAGAAGACACGTGGCAGAAGGAGAAGTGTGGTCCAAAGAAGCAGGAAAAACAGGGAGACGACACGTAACCTAAACGAGAAAGCATTCCCATGTGACTGAACCAATTCACTTGCGTGGAACTTGTCTTTGTCACCACTTTCCCCTTCCTTCGTCATTATTCCTTTTTCTTTAGTATTTTTCTTACTTCTTATTTTTTATTTTCTTTTTAAAGTATTCTCATCACCCAAAAAAAAAAAAAACATTTATTTACTTACCACATATTCACATTAATGAAATTACATTAGTCGAAACTTTTAGGGCTACTACTATTTGTTAATTCCTTATCTTGTGTGTCATCCTTGATTACCATTGAATTATATATACGGAGACAGCAAGTACCGGTGGCTCCTTCACGTACGATAAGCAAGTTTTAGAAATAGGTTCGAGTTTGAGATATATGTAATAACAGCATTATGTCTATCAAATTTGACGATGTGACTTTAGAAGAGACAAAATGATGGCCTGAGACACACCACCATTTTCTAATTTTTCACATATGATCCCTTTCCATTTGAATATATGTGAGTTGTATGATGTGTCTTCCTCCAATAGTGAGAAAAAGCTAATGTGGGGGACATATATATATATATATACACTACTAAATAAAAAGGTTTCTTCGTTTTCTTGTTTTGATTGGATGACGAGTATCTCACGTTTTTATATAAATTACCCCATAAATTAAACTCTGATATATTTTCTCAAAATTATTCATTTCTTGTAAAGATTTATATGTACACATGAGATAGTGCATGCGTCTTTTATTTGATGTCAAAACATTGATGTTTGTTTAACTCTAATCCATTCAACTAACTGACATGAATATATTAGTATCTCTTACCTTCGAGTCGTTTTCTGATCCTTTTTTAAAGAATATATATATATATAAATAGAGTTACGTGAAACATTAAGACACTTTGATTCCAAACTATTATCTTTCTCTTTATTTTGGTTTTTTAACCAGCAAGAACGAACGTACAAGAGTAGATAAGTTGAATTGTATCCTCGTCTTCCATATTCGAAGACCACGTGAACATCACGTGCATAGCCGTCACTCAATGTCTGGAATACAATTTCCTTTACTTTCCATTGTAAATTATTTTATTCCTCCTTGTTATATATATATACCATTCTCATGATTCGTGTTCGTTGCCTATATACATACATTACCTTCTCTCTTTTATTACTCACCTAAAAAAGGCACACCACTACTATGTTTCTCATGCCAGACTATTTTAAACCATTAGTCATGTCAATTCTGTATATATGTTTTTCGTTCCTACATGTTTTTATCCTACTTTAGATAACCTAGGTTTGCATACCTTTCAAATAACAAGCAAGGCATATAATGTGCTAACAGCCGTCTACTAGGCCTTCTGCTCTTTTTTTTTTTTTTTACATTAATTTAATTAAGGCTTGAAATGGCTATAATTAACTAATCGTACATAACAATGATATAAAAAACGGAAGAAACATAGTTATGACATAAGATTTAGAAAAAGTGATGTTGAACAATATTCCTAGCTAATACAATTGAAATGGTATTGACAAAAGAAAAAATAATAAAAATAAATAAATAAATGGTCACCATAGTATATATTGCACGGGTATCCAATTAAGAACTATCCACTTTTTAATATACTTCTTCTCTTTTTTCACTTGGAATGAAAGTCTTAACAATTAAAAGCGAAATTCGAAAATCTGAATAAGTTGAAACAATAGTGATCGTGGTGTACTATGCCAACTGCTTATCTAATTATCTTGACAAAACACATGTGTTCAACTCATTTTCTTGGTTTTATATTGTGCAAGTGTGGTTTTCTTTCTTTCTAAAGCATGCATTCCAATATTTATGTAAAGGAAGGCGTGAAAGCGTTTATGTCTTCGCTGCTTCTAGCCAATCTTTTATTTCACCATACCATTCATGGACTGATTTAGTTATACGATCGAATGCATGAAAGCAATATTTTTGTCTATGCTAGCTTCTTATGGTCAATCTTAATTCCACCATGCCATAATTCTGTGCTGCTTATGTCCAATCTTCAGTCTCCTTGTTGTCTTGTCGCCAACTTGGAACCTTAACTCGTGTATACATATTACATGAGAATAATGTATGCATGGCCGAAGAGAATTCGTTTAACCTGCTGGTACAGAAGAAGGATTTAAAATCTTTGGTATAGGTACAAAAGTAAAGCAGGCTATGTTCTTGGGATATTAATTATAACAATGTTGATGAAGACAAAATAGAGAAGAATGATTAAACTAATATACAAAAGATATAAAAGGAAAACTCGGGAAGATTCGTGCTTATAGACTCCTAATCACTAGTGTAAAAAAATAATCAATAGGAAAGATGGGAAAAGGAGGAGCACACTGCTTTTGAAAGGGCGAAATGAGTGGTCTCGAGCTCCGAAAACAAAGAAAAAATAATAACCTACAAAAATTGACTAATTAACAGTAAAAACTAAAATAACCAAAGACAGAGACAGTTTATCGTATATATAGGTTTGGAAAAGAAATAAAAAAAAAATAGTTAAAACATATATGTACCCAATAGTTATCCATAGATGATCGGATACTTACCCCAAAATTTGGACGTCTTCGGGATCCACACCACGTCTCTTGTCCAGAATTGTCACCCACCTTATATTTCTTCTTTCTGATGTTTTAAATCTTACTTTATTTACATATTACCAAAACTACAAGTTCTAATCGAATGCGAGAATATTTTCGTTACGTTTTGAAGCTCTTAAATATTTTGTAAATGTAGTTAACCAACATAAATGAAATTCTTTGAACACATGTAAGAGTTACAAAAGTTGCATATATTTTCGGTTGGATAAATTGTTAGTTTTCTGATTTGAATAAAGCGAACCAAAAGTTTCATCCAATTTTTGTACATCATGGTACGTACTAAAGATACGTGATAATCTATAAGAAATGTAACCGTATATACGTGAAGTCTACATATATATATATATATACAAATCTTATTAAACATTAAAAAATAATTTCAGTATATTCAATCTGTATGATACATGCATACCAGACACGATGATTCTTTAATTAATTTACTGTCATCGGAGAAAAAATAAAAATGGCAAAAGCGTAAATAGAGGGGAATACAACCCAATGAATAAGGTCACAGTCGTCCAGCTTATAAAAAGCATCTCAGAGGACTCAACCTCACCAAGGTCATATCCTATTTGCATCGCTCTCCTTTAAACAGAGTCAGAGGAAAACATCAACTCTTGTCTGAAAAACCACAAAGACAGATAGACAGAGAGAGGATAGAGATAGAAAGAGAGAGAAATGGATCATGGTAGGTTAATGGAGGATCAAATGGTGCTGGGAGGCTCTCAAGTGTACCACTACACGACCCCGACCCAAAGTTCACAGTGCATCATGGTAAACCAGATCGATGGATCATCATCATCAGGCGAAGGATCAAAACCCGTGAAGCGGCGGAGGAAGAGGAGGAGCAAAGGTACATCAGCGACCAACGAAGGAGACGTGGGGGAGATCGGAGGGATGTTGAGGAAGAGGAAGTTGACCGATGAGCAAGTGAACATGCTCGAGTATAGCTTCGGGAACGAGCACAAGCTAGAGTCAGGGAGGAAGGAGAAGATCGCCGCTGAGTTGGGCCTTGACCCGAGACAGGTGGCTGTGTGGTTCCAGAACCGCCGCGCACGGTGGAAGAACAAGAAACTCGAGGAGGAGTACGCCAAACTCAAGAACCACCACGACACCGTCGTCCTTGGCCAATGCCAGCTCGAGTCTCAGGTACAACTTTTATCTTTTTCATAATACAACAGACCTTTATTTTGTTTCTTCTTTTCTTTTCTTTTCTTTTCTTTTCATGTTCATTATTACCATAGTTAAGATGAAGTTTTTCCGATCTGTTTGATTTACACGTAATCACGTCTAAGTATATTATACGTTACTTTTTTTTTTTTTTCAAAATTTATCACACATGTGAAATGCAGTTAAATCAAATATTGTATAACCAGTAAAAATATTATAAATTGAAATAGCTAAAAGACTTGGGAGGCTTCATCGAATCATTTAAAAGAGTCAAATTAGACAATAGGACCACACACCACAGATTAGATGACGGAGTGGGATATTTCGTCATCTCATTCTTATCCACCATTTTTTTTTATCAAATAAATTTAAAAAAACTGTTCCGTCCGTACGACCTCTCTCCAGTTGGGCTCATGATAGCCCATTTGCCCATTCAGTTAATGCCACGTTTAAAACCCCTTCTCTGCAATTTTGGGCGGACATGCCAGAAAAAGTATACAAGTGATTGTTTGAATTAGAGTTTTATATCTATCTGATCGATACTTCAGTAAGAAATGGTTTACTAATTAACTATATACATATTTTTGATGTTTGTTGTTGTAGGTATTAAAACTGACAGAACAACTTCACGAAGCTCAAAACGAAATCCGAAAGCTGTCGGAACGTCTTGAAGAAATGCCAACCAACAGCTCGAGTTCATCGCTTTCCGTTGAAGCCAACGACGCACAGTTTGATTTCGAGCTAGCCCCGGAGCCGGAGACTAACTACAACAACATCCCATTCTATATGTTGGACAACAACTATTTACAGAGCATGGAGTATTGGGATGGTTTGTATGTATGAATTTTAATTATATATCAAACTAAAAAAAAATTTGGGGTCTTCTTTATGGATGAAAAAAGCATGTTGTAGAAATAGATATGTTGGTTCAACTCTTGTAATTTGTAAATGTCGCTTTTTCAATGTTTTGTTTTTATTTTCTCTAGTTCCATATTTTATCATGCAAATTAATCTCTATTGAAATATATGGTCCTAAACTCTATATATTTCCCTATTAGTATAAAGAAAATAGATATATAAATACTAGTGACCAAATTTGTTTTCATATCCTGAAACAGAAACCCCTGATTCCATTACTTATAGGTCCTTTCATTGATTCATTAAAAATCGTGAATAGATAAACTTTAGGAAGTTAAAGTTCTCATTAAAAATTGGAGATTGCACGAAATTATCATAAACACATAGTAAATAGTATTATATAACTCATTTTAATCATCCAAATTAATTTTTCATTTATAAGATTTTATTGGTCAACAATCTTCATCTATAAGTTAAATAACAAACACGCATTTTACAAATAAAGAATTAAATGTGTTTGAATTTGATATACCGTAGACGATTATTATAAAAGTCTCCTCTTCTTTTCCCTCCCGTTCTACGTAGAGTTCCCTTTTTGAAATATCTTACTTTTCAGAAAAGTCCCCCAAGTTTTGTAGAGCTTATAGAAACACCCCGAATGTTTTGGCTGTATAAATACTTCAGCGTCACACTATTTACTCTGCGTCGTCTTCGTCGCTCAATTCAGAAATGAGACCTCGCGGGTATCAACGAGCTCCGTCAATGGAGGAACCGTCGATGATTCCAGCAGATAAGACGCTTCATCCAAATTACCCATTTCTGATCTCGTCGCATGGTCTCAAGTCGTTTGAATCGGAGGACGACGGCGACGACTCAAACCTCGAGCCCAAAGATCAATTCGCTTTCAGTATCGGCACAGACTTACTTGTCGATTTCAAAGACGTATCTATAGGAGAAGTAATCGGCGAAGGTTCATCTTCAATAGTCTACAAAGGATTGTGGGTTTCTCGTTCCTCTAAATTCCCTACCTTTTTGCTTCTTATGCAAACTGCAATTTCTTCTTCTTCTTCTTCTTTTCTTGAATTTGGTATATATTTTCTGTTCATCGTTTTGGGTTTTGATATTGTTAAAAATTCTTCAAAAATTTGGAGCCGTAAACACTATTCGCAGGATATATATATATAGGTTTCAGGGTTTATTGGTGATTGAAAAGTTTGTATTTTGGGTTTTTAACCTTGAAATTTGGGAATTTTCTATTCTGATTTTGGTTCATGGTGATTTACGTCAATGCTGAATGAATAAGGGTTTTTTCACGCTTTGGTTTCTTTCAAAATTGGGTTAAATTTATCTCAAAAGGCTGGAGGAAGTGTTTATGTAGTCTATGCTCTAGTCTTCTCTACATAATGCCTCCAACCTTTTTAAAATATCAAGGATAAATGTTACCGAGAAACCATGAATGACAACATAAGAGAGCTTACTTAGTAAGTGCTCCATGAAAGTTTTTGAATAAGTAATATTTGTATTGCGGCATAGTTGTTATTGGTTCTTGAGTTAGCATATGGGTTGAAGTATATTTCCCTATTGGTGATTATAGGTTTAGCAGTCTTATCCCTGTCTCAGTGAAGATATTCCAGCCTAAGAGAACATCTTCTGTAAGCTTTGAGTTGAAGAAGAAGTTTCAAAGAGAGGTTTTGCTGCTCTCCAGAATTAAACATGAAAACATTGTGCAGGTAACATGGGATCATTTGATATAAGATTGTTTTCATATGTTAGCTTTAGTTTGTAGATCACTGGTAATCTCGCATTGTATTGTTAGCTGAGGACTTTTTGATCGCAGTTTATTGGGGCCTGCATAGAGCCAAAGTTGATGATAATTACTGAACTCATGGAAGGCAATACTCTTCAGAAGTTTATGTTGACTATTCGTCCAAAGCCACTTGATCTGAAGCTGTCGATTAGCTTTGCCTTGGATATTGCTCGGGGAATGGAGTTCTTGAATGAAAATGGCATCATTCACCGTGATTTGAAGCCAAGTAATATGATTCATGTTTAGTCAATATGGGATATCACCAAAGGAGGAACAAATATTTGTGAACTGAGGAGGATTGGTTGTGTACAGGTAATATGCTCTTAACAGGTGATCAGAAACATGTAAAGTTGGCTGATTTTGGACTTGCGAGAGAAGAGACCAAAGGTTTTATGACCTGTGAGGCTGGTACCTACAGATGGATGGCTCCGGAGGTGGGTGTTTCAAGTTTCTGATACATAAATAGGTTTAAATATTTTCTTGGTTTGACATATTGTTTGTCTGTTTCCCAGTTATTCAGCTATGAGCCGCTTCAAAATGGCCAAAAAAAACACTACGATCATAAGGTGGATGTATACAGTTTCGCCATTGTTTTCTGGGAGCTGCTTACCAACAAAACCCCATTCAAAGGAAAAAACAACATATTTGTTGCTTATGCTGCTAGCAAAGTAAGTTAAGAAGCTCACAATTTAAAGTCAAAATCACTTGAACATGAATTGATCAAGTCTTGCGATTTCTTCAGAACCAAAGACCAAGTTTGGAGAATCTTCCAGAAGGAGTTGTTCCCATCCTGCAATCATGCTGGGCAGAGGATCCTGACGCTCGTCCTGAATTTAAGGAGATTACAGTTTCACTAACAAATTTGCTCAGAAGCTTAAGCTCAGACACTAATGCAACTTCATCTTATAGCAAAGCCAATATAGCAACCGAAGATTCAACAACAAGCAGTCTGGTTCAAGAACGTGTTGTCTGTCAGTGTCCAGGACTAAAGATGACCAAGACGAAGAAACTGAAGAAGAAGACGCATGAAGTGATGAATATGATCGTTCCTTTTCTCAAGATGTTCAAAAACTGTATGTCTAAGAGTAAGTGATGATAGTAGAAACTACTGGTAAAAAGAGAAAAAAAGGTATATCAATACGAACATGATAAGAGTAATAGGAAAGACACTTTCGTTAAATTTCGTTTTCTAAGTTCTAAAAAAGTCGAAGAATATGTGGTATAGCTGATCACCGTAACTTACTCTACAATTAATTTTGTATTTTCCCCGCAGTAAACCGCAATTATACTAATTTTAAAACTGTGAAAATACACAGATTTATGATCAGGTGGGGCCTTAATTAATACCGCTACAAAATTTAAAAAAAAAACAAAAAACAACAAAAAAAAAAAGAAAAAAGAAAAGGTATCGTCCGATTTTGGCGGGACGAGACCGTTCGAACAGAAGAGAACAGTTTGGTCTCTTAAGGTGATGTGATGTAAGAAACGACGACGGTGATGTCATCAAGCTTTCCTCCGTAATACCTGTAGCCAGCCTCCTGAGCGGCAGCTGCGAAAGGGCTCTGCCGTTTTTTGTCTACTGCTCTCAGACGTGCTAAATCTGCTATCTTCTGAGCCGTGGCTTTCGGGTCTAAACCGGCCCTCACCGAACTAACCACCACTCCGGTGATCTCTTCGTTGTATAGATTATCATACATGCCATCCGATCCAGCCACAATCACATCTCCGGACTCAACATCAATCGTGAATACCTAAATTCATATACCCAATTCAGTTTTAGACTATGTTCACTCCATATGACCCAAACTAAAACCTAAAACAGAAACGTCTCCTACAAAATGGCACTTTATGAGGCTGAGTGAGCCTTGGAAACAGACCTGACCAGAGCTTGGGACATCGGCACTATTTCCACTCTCCAACTGATAAGTGAAGTTGAATCCATGCTGCTGAACCGGAGACTGAAACACCGTGGTCCCCTCTCTAACCACCGTGAATCCACTGTCTCCGAGATTAATGGCGTGTAATCCCTTACAAAACAAGAACAAACACTTTTCAAGAGAAAGCAGCACGAAATACGGTTTTCATTCATCCGCAAGCAAAACTATGTGAGCTAACTAACCTTATCTGTCAAAGCAATGATACAAGCCGTGGACGAGCCTTTGGCTCTGGTTTGAGAATGTGCTTTCTCTAACACCAATAAGGGGTCGATAGGAGAACCTTTCTGTCGATCTTGAATAGCTGATAGTGAATAAGACATCAACTCACGCGAAAACAGTCCAGCATTAACACCAACCTCTGCCCAACCGCCAACTCCATCTGCAACTCCAATAGCTTGTTCTTCATCGCAGATAAAGTGAGCGTCTTCTCCACCTGTAGCTTCCTTTTCAGGATGCGGGAGATAACATGACCCCGACACTAGCCTTAGACTCCTACTCAAAATCAAAACTTACTATATATCAATCGACTGTTTCCTCGGTAACAAAAGAGCTTCACAAAGAGTAAAGAAACTTACTTGAGAGATGTAGTAGTTGGTGGTGAGTCGTGAGAACCACCGTTAAGAGAAGAAAGCTCATGAGCAGGTCCAACCGAGAAACAAGCAATAGAGGAAGTATGAACACTCTTTGACAATGTCCCAAAGAGTGCACGACTCTTTTGGAGCGGCCCGACGGCAGAATAGTGACACACCAATCGGTTCTTGATCACTCCCTCTCTCTTCCCAAGTCTCATGCTAGCTGCTGGAAAATTAACGGTGAAGCTACCACCACTAGAACGCTTCTTAGTGAAATCTAAGCCATTGGAACAAGTTGTAACTAAATCATCCAAACAAGCGTCCCCAACCACTGGGAGAGAACCAGAAGCAGCCATGGCTTGACGAAACCGAGAGCTGTCAGAGAACAATCTCCTTTCACCGGGATTGGAGAAAAAGCTCTTACTCTTCCCAGCTACGATTCTTTGAAACCCAAATTGAGAAACAGGGTTTAATCTTGAGAGAGCAGTCGCTGACATCTAAATCCAACAGAACCCAAACAAAAAACCGTAAACTCGGTTGCAATAGGTAAGAATCCAGAAATCAAGTATGAATCAAAAAAAGGAAACGTTTTTACCAAAAAATTGAACGAAACCACAAAAAAATAAAATCAATGGCTATAAACGAACCCTCAAAACATAATACAATTCAAATACTTGAGAGAAAGAGACGAAACTTTTACCGGAATATTCACTCTTCAGGGCTTTTCCCGTCTTCTCTTCGCCGGAGTTAGGTTTGGTTGAGAAGAGAAGACGAAAGGAATATATAGAAATCTCCAGTTTTCCGCTACCTACCTGCAAGCTGCGAGCATCTCCGTAAAATTCATTAGCCGATGAGGGCAAATTCGGAAATTTCTTTCACTTGCCAAGTCTTGTTTGTTCGTGTTCAGTTTTCGATGTCGAAACTTTTCAGCTGGTCTTTCGAGATCCTAATACGGCACATTAGATATTTAAACAATTTAAGGCCCAATAGTGATAAGCTTGTGCACTTGAGTAGGCCTTCAGCATGATGAGCTTAAAATATATATGGCCCATTAACAAACATTTCACAATCGACCACCCTACTAGTACTAGTCTTCTGCTTAGTGTACTGTGTAAACCACATATTTCAAACCAATTTTTATATCAAAAACAACCACATATAATCTCAACTTTTCTATAGGTTTAAGAAAGTAATTTATCAAAATTATTTTATAGTCTGGTGGTGACTTCTATTAACCTTGTTAGGTTGGTAAATTATCTTGATGTAATGTCTAATCCTGAAAAGAAGAAAAGAGATAATGCCTCTTTTGGGTTGGATTGTCATGATAATTCCATCACTACAAAGGACCTACCCAGCGATTGAAACATCAAAATCCAAAATCTTTGGTCGATTCTCCAATCAAATCACACCGGTCAAGTCGACTGGTGTATTTTCAAATTTATCTGGCCAAAATTAGACCATCCCTCAGTTTTGTAAGTTATTATAAAAAACATTACATCCTTCCAAAAATATAATGGTCGCTTTTGGGAGAAGTCATGTCTATCTCATCTACGAATTCTTCCCATTATTGCAAATATTCGACTCAGCGTTTCAAGACAACAAGCAACACACAATAATAGAAACTTCAAAGTTCAAACCCCAACGATTGTTTTCACACGATGGAACTTTTATTATGGTATAGAGACATCATTCACCATTAATATTAGACCAAAATTTGTACCTCTTTGTAATGTGTTTGCTGTGATATCATGCACAACTTGAATTCAGATTCGACCTCAAAAGTACATCGTGCGAGAGTTATAAACAAACAACCAACCACAAAGAGAAACAATATATTTTTGTTGTTGTTGTTGCCAGAAGCTTTATGTACTTGAGACAAAACCCACTTGGGCAATAAACTAAGAGCTTTTGCACTAAAACAAGATACCAAAAGATCTAAACCTGATACAAACTTAATATTAACTATAACTATATACTACACTGTTCCTCTACGTTCATTCATGCCTGCCTTTGTCCCTCTTACGAACTTCTACCAATGTCTTTGCCTGAAAACTCCCCTGATCCAAACACATCGATTCCGCCGCTCCCACCTATAGAAGTTAACAGGGCAGACAATCCGCCTCCAGGATTACTACCATTACCAACAGCTCTTCCTAATCCGAGAAAGTCAAGTGTTGTCTGTTTTGGACCAAACACCGATGAATTCCCCATCATGAGCTCTTTTAGACCTGATCCGCTACCACCGCTGCTACAAGGTAGTCCTAGCCCGAGACCAGGAGCTAGGGACAACGCATCGTTATTGCTGAGTTCCATAGATGAAGAAGTAGTTGAAACTATGCCTAACCCGCGAAGCAACGACCCTCCTGATCCCGTGGAACCCATTTGGGCAGCTTTTTGGAGCAATGCCGTAGCTGACATCGCCGGTTGAGGAGGAAGAGGAGTTAGGAAATGTGGCGGATCTTGTATTGTCCGTCCGAACAAAGACGGGTTCGTCGAGAGACACAGAGAGATGGGTTCGATGGAGGAAGATGGTGCGTACAAACTTGGAGAAGCGGTTGAGGAAGCATATAAACTAGGCGAAGCAGTTGATGATACAAACAAGCCCGAGTATGCACCATTATTGTTACTGTGATCGTTGCTTAAACCCGATGAGCTCACATTGAAACCGATTGTTCTTGAAGCTTCCTCGACGATGACTTCAGGAGGGTTGCTTCCTGGAGATTCTACAAACGAAAAGACAACGCGCGATGATAAGTCATTGATAAAAAAGTTTGGGACTTTCGATTTGATATATGTCTGAAGTCATGGGTTTAGCTAAGGAAGATGACGAACACGATTTAGTTTCGATGATTAGAAATATAACGGCGCTACAGACAAAACCAACTAAACTCCAACAACATCACCGACCAATTTTCATTTAGAATTTTCTTAAGAGTTCTTGTTTCAGTTAGAGAGAACTGAGAAATTGGTAACAAGTAGCGACAAAACTTAATTCAATATTGTCAAAACATCCCATCAAGCAGAGACTTTAGTTATTATGTACCTGGAGAATCCTGATTCGGCAAAACCGAGGAAGATATGACTTTGGCAGGCTCAGACTCGACCGAAATAGCCGGCGCCGGAGCTATAGCAACCGACGGCGGAGAAGAAGCCTGTAGCGACGGAGGAGATTCAACAACTGCTGGAGATTTCTGCTCAGGTTCTGGGTTCTTCCTTGTGACAGTTTCTGGATAAAGTTTCTTGCTTTGAGTATGATTCTTCGCACTCTCTTCAGCCAACGCATCACAGAAAGCTCTGTGCGTTATAAAGCTATCTCTCCTGCAACAAAACCCAGTCCACAAGTTATAGTAAAATCCTTAAGAAAAGATCAAATCTTCGAGGTTTTAACAAAATCGCACCTGGAAAACAGAGTTCCACAGTCGCATTTATACTCCTTGGTGCCACAAATCTTCGAATGAGCTTTCCAATCTGATTGAACAGCATACTTCTTTGAACATTTCTCACACTTCCATTTCTTCTCGCCGTGTTTCCGACAAAAGTGTTTCTTGATTCCAGTGAGATCTCCAAGAGCACGTGACGGGTCATGATGAACACAGCCTGCAACTGGACAAACGTACACCTTCTTCTTCACTTCTTTACTCGATCTCTGTCGAAGTTTCCATGGAAGATTGTGACCACGACGATGAAGCTGAAGATTCTGGTCACGTTGAAAACCTTTGTTACAGATTTCGCAGACGAATCGATTCGTCGCCATGAGTGTCTTAGGTGACAGAGCTATCACTTCCGCGTCTGGATCTGAATTTAACACCCAAATAAGCAAAAACAATCAGTGAAGACTAACAAAACAAAAACTTCAAAATCAAAAACAGAAAAGTTTGGATTTTTGATAAGTACCAGGCATTCCGGGAAGATTCCGTTTCTTCTTCCCGACGGATTTGGGAGTTTGATTTTGGTTCCCGGTCGATGAGACGCTTGCATCGCCGGAAACTGTAGAGGAGTTATCTAAATCAACCGGCATGATTACAGAAACAAACTTCGCTTTTTTTTCCCCTTTCACAGATTCGACACAGAAAATGAAGCAAATCTCAGCTTAGCTCAATCTAGGGTTTATCATCTGCTCTTTCTCTCTCCTCCTACTCTGTTTACTCTCTCTCTCTCTCTCTCTCTCTCTCTCTCTTCAGCTACCAGTCAATCTGCTTTTCGTAAAAACCTCTTTTTCCCCTTTCCGCCACCAAACTTTTCTGATAACTCTCTCTGACCTCTCTTCTTCAAAAAGATTTAAAAACCCAAAAAAAACAAAAAAAATCAAGACTTCATTACCCAAGAAATCACACTAATCATTTAACCCACACGCTTCTTCTATAAAACCCACCGATCTGATCCAACGGCTGAGAATCCACCGGAGATGCCGAGTTATCCGTACTTCCGGCTTTGATTCTTTGTCTCTCTCTCTGAAGAATCCACCGCTGAACAAAAAATAATAATAAGGCGGCTTGCGTGATAGAGAGACTTTGTGTGAAAGCTTCAAGCTTTATTTTTATTTTTGTTTTCCTTTGGTTTGTCCGAGACAAAGGAGCCTTCTTCTTCTTTTCTCTCTCTCCGGAGACAATTATACTATTTTTTTCTCCTCAACTTTTCAGCAAATTATTTTTTTTACTAACGTTTCTTCTTTTTATAATATTGTATAAAATCTTTAAAGTTTCAAGTATATATTAATCTGAATTTTGGACCTCCCATGCAAATAATTAAATCAAAACTAACCTCTTAGCTAATGTTTGATTTTTAAATTGAAAACGGTGTAAAAAGTACCAAACAAGTGAGGAGTAAAAAGATTTTATCGCAAAGATTATAGAGTATCATAATTCATAGACGAAGGTGTGTACTGAAAAAAATGGCATGTGAATATATGCAGTGCCCAATGAATGCAATATCAGGTTTTTTTTTTATTAATTTATTTTTCTATTGTACATGTTACGTAATCAACTGACCAAGTATTTAATATTCGTCGATGGCCCCGAAAATTTCTAGAAATTAGTTTTGTAATTTTTATTTGTCTTTCTATATATAATTTGTTATCGGAGAAAAAGAAAAGAGAATTAATTTTTTCTTTATCCGCTGCAAATTATGCATATTTTAAACATATGAATTTCCAAAGATTAAGAGGACTCTCCGGTTAATTAATAAACGGTGATGATTTATGTTATTATTAAGCAAAAAAAAATAAGGTTAATAAGAAAACGCGTGAGTCAATTTATTTTTACTGTCACTGTCCCTAACTGCTGGGGACAAAAGAGGGTATTACCGTGGCGTTGTCGGACCGTAAAAATAAGAAGTTACCCAAATTACGTAGAGTTGTTGAACGAATAACAAGTTTTCACTGTGTGATACTTTGTCGTGTAGCGATAACGTTCGAAATCGCGATTTGTTTTCTTCTTACTTGGGAATTTCTGGTTTAACGAAACCCCAAATTAAATGCAATGTTCGTCTGATTTTGTTGACTTTGACCATTTATCTTTGTTTTTAGTTTTGGTAATATTCGTTCCGCTTTTGTTTTTTTAACGTTTATTAATTTACTAAAACATGCCTTGTAGGCATTTTAAGAAGCTTAGATGATGACACGTGTATTTTGTTATCTGAATCTACATCCGTTGGATAAACATGACGATGACAGGCACAGGTGTATGAAACTTACACTAACCAGCTTGGATTTCTGCGTACTGTTACACCGCCACTCTTCAAATATTTGTTTTGTAATTTCGTCACCTTTTTATTTGGTATTTATTAGATTATTACTTTTGATTTGTGTGCGTTAAGATGGATTATATATAGTGCTTAAAAAAACGATGTCTTAAGACTTGAGATGTGAGATTTGTCAATTGTCCGATGATATTCAAAATTTGTAAAAAAAAAAAGCTTACGGCTAATGTAAAGTTCCTCCTCTCTTATACAAATGTGCCCATTAAAACTAGCATTTGACTTTACAAAGCATATATATATAAAAAAATTAAATTAGGTTTTGGGGCCACTTTTGTAATGCCTTTTTTTATATATCTTTTGTTTTAGTTTCAAAGGTAAGAATTATTTTCTAGGCTGACAATTTTGGGGTCCCTCCATAAAATTAAAAACAAACAACACTATTCTGCCAGCATACAAATTCCTTAACATATGGTCCAGATAACAGTTCCAACCACTAGTTTCCAATAATCTCAAAATCAATATGCGCAATTTTATCTTCTTTCTAAAAATAATATTAATCTTGTATTTGTTGTTTATATGATCTTAATACGTATAGTGGTTATAAGTTCCTCTGTAGTTTGACTCACTTTGTTATCACGCACGTTGATTACGCTTGTCCAGAAATATGAAACGGGCATTATTCACATCCGAACAACACAAATAGATCTTCTTTGCTAGTATCAATCATTCAAGATCAAGGCTAATGATCTTTGGGCCGAATTATTTTGTATTTTCCAACCTGAGTCCAGCAACATTAATTTTAAGGGCTGCATGTAAATTTTTGAATATGTTTGTATGTATGTAATTTCTCCATTTTTGTTTTGGCTGTTTAATTTCGCCTTGTTTTTCAAATTTTGCAATTGCGTGTGATATTTGGGTTGGACCAATTATTGAAAAGGACAAGGCTGACTCTGGTTTTCAATGAGAGCAGTCCCCATAGGGAGTTATGTTCATTTACCACTCTTTAATTTTCTTTGTATATTATAATTTCTTAGTTTTATCATCTACGGAAAAAATAAAATGGTTGGAATTGTTTGTCTACAAACGCACACATGAAATACCTTGTGGTTTCACACAAATGTAGGAAACAAATAGATTATCTATTATGAGAATAATTCCATAATATCATACGAATCCTAGAGAAATTTAAGGACAACCAAAGACCAACCCAAATAGTTTTTTTTAAAAAAAATATGAAAATAATGATGAAATGCTTAATTTTAATATTAAAGACATATATTGTAATAGTTTTATCAACCAAAAATCCTAAAGAAGAGGGCAACCGAAGACCCACGCAAATTAGTGAAATATTCCAGCAACAAACAAAAAAAATCATATCCTTTTTTTTTTTAATGCATTAAAAATGGGTTTATGTATTTTACAAGGAATTGTACGTGGGAGTTTTGTTTAGTGAGCGGCAAGTGTTACGATATTTTATCCCATATCACTTATTCAAATGCATACATGCTATATAACTAATTGTGTTACTTATGCTGTACTGTTGTGTATAAGTTGCAAATTAACTTAAACGTCGTATATATTGTAGTGATCAAGAACACAGTACTAAATAAAGACGATTGAGGCTTCTCGAAAAATTAGAGATGAACTAAAGAGTCTGAAACCAAAATTTCCAATTAAAATAGCCTAAAGCAAAGGAGAACCACAAATATAAATTAGAAGATCTTAAAAAACAATTAAACGAGGACGAAACAAGTTTTGGAATCATGCACCAATAAGCAAACAAAATATATATATTTTTTTAAAAAAATAGAAAGAAAGAAAGAAAGGAAAAAAAAAAGAGGAGGTTTCATGAATCATAGTCGTGCTGACAATCTTCGAACCATTTGTGGGTTTCATACAATCGATCACCAATAGAACAAAGGAGAAACAGAGGAACAGGAAGAAGAACAGAAGGAGTGGGAAGTGTATGAGGAAGCTGTGTCCGAACATAGACAAAGACGATGGTTTGGAGACGGTGTTGGAAGTTCCGATACCGGAGGAGATGTTCTCCGGTATGGGTAACAACGTGGCGTTGAGGTGGCAGAACATGATGACGTGGATGAAAGCTCAAACCTCTGATAAATGGTCGCAACCCCTTATCGCCGCTCGTATCAACGAGCTTCGGTTCCTTCTCTACCTCGTTGGCTCGCCTCTTATACCTCTACAGGTTCAAGTCGGTCACTCTGTTCATAAGCCTGTCAAAGATTCCTCCATTGTACGTAAATTCAATACTAGATTCCTCTGTTTTTTGTATCTCTATCCCGTTATGAAACACATTATACGTAAAACAATGCATATGTGCAGCAAGCTTCAACGGCGAAATACATAGTGCAGCAGTACATAGCAGCAACGGGAGGACCAGCGGCGTTAAACGCGGTGAACAGCATGTGCGTCACGGGACAAGTGAAGATGACGGCGTCGGAGTTTCATCAAGGAGACGATTCCGGCGCTAATCTAAAGAGCAACGACGAGATGGGTGGTTTCGTTCTCTGGCAAAAAGATCCAGATCTATGGTGTTTGGAGCTAGTCGTCTCCGGTTGTAAAGTCATATGTGGAAGCAACGGTCTGCTTTCATGGCGACATTCATCTAACCAGCAAACTCCTGCGTCCACCGGACCGCCTAGACCTCTCCGCCGGTTTTTACAGGTACATATATATATATAGTCCGGTTTTTTTTAATAAAAATTTGTGACTTAACTCCGGTTATCGAAAATGTTGAACCGGTGGTGGTGTTATTTGTTTTGTTACTAGGGACTAGATCCACGTTCGACGGCAAATCTGTTTCTTGACGCGACGTGCATCGGAGAGAAGATAATCAACGGTGAGGATTGCTTTATCTTGAAACTGGAGACGAGTCCGGCGGTTCGGGAGGCTCAAAGCGGTCCCAATTTTGAGATCATTCATCATACGATTTGGGGTTATTTCAGTCAAAGATCGGGACTTCTGATTCAGTTTGAGGATTCACGACTTCTGAGGATGAGGACCAAGGAAGACGAAGACGTTTTCTGGGAGACTAGTGCTGAGTCGGTCATGGATGATTACCGTTACGTCGACAATGTCAACATCGCTCACGGCGGGAAAACTTCCGTCACGGTTTTCCGGTACGGTGAAGCGTCGGCCAACCATCGGAGACAGATGTCGGAGAAGTGGAGGATCGAAGAAGTTGATTTTAATGTCTGGGGTCTCTCCGTCGATCATTTTCTTCCTCCGGCCAATTTGCAGATCGGGAAGTGAATTTGAAATTGATTTTTTCTTTAGACACTCTCAAAATTTCGATACATCTATCATACAATAACAAGAAAAAAAAACAAGATCCTGTGGAAGCACAGCAGTTATGTTGTTGTTTGTATCATCCATAAAATAAAAGTCTGTGCACATCGAGAGAAAAAGAAAAGACTCTCATGCCCATTGATTATAGGAGAGCAAGTTCTGGTACGTTTTTAAGCAATCTTGGCAAGAAATGATATTATAGCACAATTAGTTTGGTCAACAACAGCACAATCACAGTTTAAGCAATTCGAAAGCTAGAGGAATTGAATCTCAAATATATTGGTGTTTCGCAATAATTAATAGTATGTGTTATTGAATGCCTGTACGTCTATCTTACAAAAAAGTGTGAAATATCATCAGACACGATTATTTACCCGTGTTGTAGAACCGGATTAAAATATTTTAAATTTATACGATTATATGAGTTTTGGTTCAAACCCAGTCTACCAATATAACCACGTCCAGTGACTTTTTGAATTTTTTATAAGATTGAAGTTTATAATAATTTTATTTTTTATAAAGTTTATATTAATTTTTTATTTGTTAAGTTTTGGTGTTTATTCGAGTTGGTTCGGAACCAAAAATCTATTTCCTAACTAACCCGTAACCGAACCGATCTATAATTTAATTTGGTTAGTTTTGGAACAATTCAAATATTCTGTAAATATCTGAAAACCGAAATGACCGATCCGAACCGACCCGAATTCCCAGGGCTAGATAGTAGATACTCAAGACAAACAAAAAAGAGCATTATTTTGTTTTCAGATGGACAGAATTGGCTAATTCTAACTTAACAGTTATTGATACCTATGTTTAACGCAATAATAGCTATCTTATGAAAAGAAAACAATTTTTGATCACCAAGAAGGCATAATAACAATTAACAAAGAATGTAATAGTTTCAGGAACTAAAATGTAGGTTTTCTCTTAAATCAATTTATTTCATCGTTTCTGGTGCAAAACGTAATACCCAGTTCCAGAACACTCCTTTGTGTTCCATCAGCAGCTCATAAACAGCTAACTCCTTCGTCTTTCTCCTAATTCCTTTTTCTTTTTCCTTGGTTCCTGATTATTATTATTCTGACGACAGACAAACCAAAAAAGCACGGCCTTGATCAATAGACACGAGCTTTAGGAGGGAAAGTGTCAATCTCATCGTCTAGAGTGTCCATGTGAACAGGCCTATACTCCAATCTCACTTTCTCATCTTCCCAATATCCCAATGTATGCTTCATCCATTCTCCATCCTCTCTTTTCTGTGTAGATTTTTATTACATTAAAATGGTTTCATCAGCATCATGGCTATGGGATGAATAATCAATGTTGAAAGGCTGAGAAAAAAAATCAAACCGTGAAATCTTCCCGAGCATGTGCTCCTCTGCTTTCCTTTCTTGCTTCCGCTGAATGCATTGTTATGGATGCATTTATCAAAAGGTTCTCCAGTTCCAATGTCTCTATCAAATCAGAGTTCCTGTATTCATTCATAGTTTCCAGGATAAACAAGAGTTATTTTTAAAAGAAAATTTAGAACAGCATTTTTATCAATCCCATGTAAAGTTCGTTTCTTTACCATATTAAACTCCGATCTTTCACTTGGACATCCCCAAAACTTTCCCAGGCCTTGTCGATCAACTGACAACCTGTGAGTTTTTCGAGGGCAGATTAAGAAATTGGCATGCAATTGCAGGTGAGACCTTTGACTGAATGCAGAACAAGTTCAGATATTTTTTTACCTTCTTCCAACGTTTCTTGCGTGCGGAAGACAGCTGCGTTGTTCTGCATAACTCTCTGCATGTTCAATCTAATACTTGAAGTAGGAAGTGACCCGTTTGAGTTTCTCAACCTGTCCAGCCATGCAATAGTCTTCTCACCCGCGTCCTTCTCAAGAGGTTTCTGTTTCTCCCCTGCACCAATCAAATATTGGACAATAACATCAGAAGAGAATTATCTTTTAATAATAATAGCACTCTCGAGATCCTCAAAAATGACTGACCTGGTTTGCTTATTTCTGCAACTCTATTTGCACAAGCACGACCAAACACAACAATGTCGAGCAGTGAATTTGCACCAAGCCTGTTGGCACCATGAACAGATGCACAAGCTGCCTCTCCAGCAGCCATTAGCCCAGGAACCACTGCATCTGGATCATCGCCTTTGATGGTAACTACCTGCAGGATTAGAGAATTGCTTCAACTGATTGGCTCCTATTGCATCATATGCTTTACTACACCTGAAGTCCAGTGAATTTTCTTTAAATAAGTTTCCTATTCTTACCTCGCCATGGTAGTTTGTTGGGATACCACCCATGTTATAATGAACAGTCGGTAAGACGGGAATTGGCTCTTTGGTAACATCAACACCAGCAAAGATGGCAGCAGTCTCAGAGATTCCTGGAAGCCTTTCTTTTAGAACTTCTGGAGGAAGATGGTTCAGATGGAGATAGATATGATCCTTATGCGGTCCTGGAAGATATAAGCAAACGTTGTCCAGAGTGAGAATCAAACTAGGCAGATCACAGAATCCAAGCATGGATACATCTCGAAAACAAGTAATGAGAGTTTGCTCCAGATAAAAAGATGTATTCAGTGGAGCATACCTACACCACGACCTTCCCTGATTTCCATAGTCATGGATCTAGAGACAACATCTCTTGATGCAAGATCCTTGGCCGTAGGAGCATATCTTTCCATAAAACGTTCACCTTCACTGTTTCTAAGGATACCACCTTCACCTCGAGATCCTGCAATTGTATATAGTGCAAGTACCAAAATTAAACTGTGAAAAACATTCAACCTTATAGTTGCAGACAAATCGAGGGTGAGGAAGAGAGACTAACCTTCAGTGATGAGACAACCGGCCCCATAAATACCAGTTGGATGGAATTGAACAAACTCCAAGTCCTGCATAAGTTTATTAAACATAAGGTATAAGCATACAAATGACAGAAAAATACACCGTTTTTCAATAATAATGGAATAGGTGGGATACCTGGAGTGGAAGACCGGCCCGTGCAACCATGGCATTTCCATCTCCTGTACATGTATGTGCTGAGGTCGCAGAGAAGTATGCTCTGCCGTACCCCTGGAAAAACAACAGCCATGAGGTGAGTATATTTTCAACATTGGAAATCTTTGTATCATATAAAAACTAGCTCACCCCAGTGGCCAAAATTGTTTGTGCAGAGCGGAAACGATGCAATGTTCCATCTTCCATGTTCAGTGCAATTACACCCTGGCAACTGCCTGTATATCACATAACAATGTTGCATTAGGTACAAAGTAACTTGCCCTTAAGTCCAAAATTGATCAATAAGAGCAATAAAACTACCTCATATCATAAAATAATTACTAGACATCACCCCAACATCAACTAGGCAAATACTAACAGAAGGATAATTAAAGGGAAATAACTAACATAAACTTACCATCACTAGCCATGAGCAAATCTAAGGCGAAGTATTCAACAAAGAACTGTGTGTTATGCTTCATGGCTTGTCCATAGAGAGTATGCAACAGAGCATGACCAGTCCGATCCGCAGCACAAGCACAACGATAGGCCTGACCACCTAATGGTAGGATAATAAGAAAGCCAAAAGTAAATAGGAGTGAGACATCTACTAAAACAAAGTAAATAGGAGTATCAATACTAGCGAGAGAAAACACCTTTTCCAAAATCAAGACTCTGACCACCAAATGCACGCTGGTAAATTTTCCCCTCTTCAGTGCGAGAAAACGGCAGACCATAATTCTCAAGCTCAATAACTGCTTTTGGTGCCTCTCTACACATATACTGGATAGCATCTTGATCACCTATACAAAGAAAAACAAGGAAAGAAACTCACTAATTGCACACAATACATAGCAGCTACTACAAGCAAGATCAATTTACTAAAAGAAAAAAACGAAACAAAGAACAAAGTTACCTAGCCAGTCACTTCCTTTGACAGTGTCATACATGTGCCATCTCCAGTCATCTTCAGACATATTACCCAGTGCAGCATTAATACCACCCTTCACAGATATTTCCAATTCATAAACCCAATCTCAAAGAAACAAAACTCCATAAAAATCGAATTATAGAGAGGTTCGTAAGCAAAAATACCTGGGCAGCAACAGTGTGTGACCTTGTGGGGAATAGCTTAGTAATGCAAGCGGTGTTGAAACCGTGCTCCGATAATCCAATCGCCGCCCTGAGTCCAGCACCACCAGCTCCCACCACAACCGCATCATAGGTGTGATCCACTATCGTGTAAGAGGATTTCGTATCGGTCTGCTCAAAAGGTAACACAAATAAACAGCCACAAAGCAGATCGATCAAAATCAACGGAAGGAAAATATTCTCCGATTCTCAGAATTTGCTCGACTATTGCTAATGCATTTAAATGGCGGACAAAACTACGATTCATGAATTACATAAGATCGAATAGGAAAATCGATGAAGCGGAAGGAGAAGGAAGAGAGATCGTACAGAACCGGTGGAGAAGAATCTGGAAAAGCGAGATCCAGAGACGCCATCAAAGAGTGAAGAGGTCTTAGAAGAAGGAGCTCGAAAGCCACGAGAGACGCAGCGCCACATCTTCGTTGTTGATTCCACAAGCGAATCAGTTTCTCCGGTGCAAATTCGTAGAAGAAATGAGAGAATACGAAGAATTCGTTTGTTGTTTTTTTTTTTGGTATTAGGCGTAGAGGAGGTTCCCTTAAAGAGGAGGACGCGAACGGAGTGAGAGATAGCCACCGAGGCGCTTAAAATAAGAAAAATGGAAAACGATGATGACTTCTCTTAAATTCCCTTAGTTACCCTTATTCTCACACGATATTTACGACTAAACCGGTTTGCTTTACTAACTAAACCCCGCTAAGATTAGGCTTCTAGGCTTTTGTGATGGTCAAAATTGTCAATAATACCCCCCATACATACTTTTACCCAAATGTTTGGTGCCCCATTTATTCTTGTCGGTATCTCGTGTCCATTTCTTAGACCTTAAAATCAAATCAAACAGGAACTATCAAATAAATAATGATGTTACCTTATAACATCAAATCCGATGTCGTCCAGCGGTTAGGATATCTGGCTTTCACCCAGGAGACCCGGGTTCGATTCCCGGCATCGGAGCTTTTTGGCACTTTATTTTGCATCTCTATTCATTTCTTTTGGGTTATTTCAACTACCAACCAATGAGCCTAATGCTCACCACAAGTTAACAAAATCACAAATCCACAACATAACTTACCTAAGAGACAATATTCCATAAGCATAAATTGCATAATACTTATATTTATAGCCGCAATTGCAAAATTAGAGGGCCAATTGTTTTCATCATGCTGAGAGCTAATAATCACACCATTAACTCTCATGATATCATGGTTCTAAGTGACTTTTAACTTACAAAAAGTTTCCGAGGCCCTCTCTAATGATCAAATCCTTTCAGCCAAAAGTAACCGGTAATATTCAAGTGGTTCATTGCTTACTTAATGGTCCTAACTGTTCAAGGAAGAAAGCATTCCTCCTGCAGAACTGGGCAGGACCACTTCCCAACCTGGACCCTTCACTGGAAAAGATTCATCAGCTTGTTTCTCTCCCGGTAAAGTAATTGTCAGGTCACTCCGGTCAAGCAACCTGTCAAGATCCTCCTCGCTTATATCCGTTTGTATCAGTTTATCTTCAGCGGTCTCATCGTCCTTAAGCAAGCCCAGTATGTCCTCCTCCTGTGTGTTTGTTTGGTTTCAAGATTTTGATAAAAGACCATCCTTTTATAAGTGTATATAAAAAAGGATTGAATTTTGAGAAAAACTAAACCTCTAGTGGTGCTGAAGACTTGGCTCGTTCTTGATGAAACTGCCCTTTGCCAATAACCACATGTTCCAGCTTAAGCTTACTGTACGCTCGTTTCAAAACACGGGTCTGTACAAACACAATAAACCATTCTCATGAGGCAAAAATCTTACTGATTTGGAGTTAAGGTAGATTGATATGAACACTGAACAGCAAAGAGTTTACCTCTATTGACTGAGCCGTTGCAAGCCTGTAAACATGAACAGGTTTCGTCTGCCCGATTCTGTGGCATCTGTCCATGGCTTGTAAGTCCATTTGAGGGTTCTGTAGATAAGACGAAACACAGTTGGAGAAAGCACGAAAGAGAAATAATTTCCTTCAAAGACAATTGACTGATTTAATTACCCAATCACTGTCGTAGAGGATGCATGTATCAGCAGCAGTGAGATTGATTCCGAGTCCTCCAGCTCTGGTACTGAGGAGAAATATTCTGCAGCTGCTCTTCTCATCACTGAACTCTTTGATCTATTTCAAGGTAGAGAGAGAGAGAGAGAAGGACCTTAAATATATGGTCAAAATATTGCTTAAAGGCAAAGGAAAAGTAGTATAGCCACACTAGAAACCTGTCTTCTCCTTTCATCCAGCTTAACACTGCCATCGATTCTGCAAACCTCAAACCCCTTCTCACTGAAGTAGTAATCCATAATGTCCAAAAGTTTCGTCCATTGGGAGAAGATTAGGACCTGAATCACCAGCAAATATATCAGAGTTGTTCTGAAAGCAAATGAGCTACAACCCATAGGTTTGTGGAACATACTTTGTGATTTTTGGCAAATAACCGAACAAGTAATCTCTCCAATAAGCGGAATTTACCACACTGACCAACAATCTCTTCAACAGGAGGGTATTCATCTGTCAAGAAATGAAACAATTAAAAAGATCATCCGAACAGAAGCTTTTCCTCGAGTTTCTAAAAAGGCACAGACATACATGAACCATCTATTTGCCCTTGAAGAAGGTCAGGATGGTTGCAGTTCTTCCGAAGTTGAACAAACAGGTTGTTAAGCTTTCCCCTCCAGCCTTGACCTAAAGTATAAGGGGTGAACAGAGCGATGCAGAAAGTAACATAATCAAACATTAAGCATAAAAACAAAGAAGAACAAGTACCTCCGGCAGCATTCTCTCCAAGGTGTGCTTCCAATGTGCGGTTCACGAGATGTTCCTGGAACTTTTTCTGATGATCAGTCATTGTAGCATACACAATAATCTCCTTTTTCCGTGGAAGTGAGAGCTCAACATCACATTTCATTCTTCGAAGGATGAAAGGTCGTAGTATACCATGAAGTTTGGCAACAACCTAGACAAAATTTTACTCTTCCCATGAGCATGTATACAATCCAAGAAATCTAGAAAAATTAACGATAATGTTCTTACTTGAGATCTTCTTTTCTCTTCTCCTGCTTCCTTGGTTACGTCATTTTTGTTCTTTCCAGAAAAATCAAACCTGTACAGACAAGAATAAATTTCAGAAAGCTGTCGCCAGTTCTTCTATAAAGAAAAAAAACTAAAGACACCATAATAGTTGAAAAGTACCATGATTCAAATTCATCATGTGATGCGAAGATGTCAGGCAGAATAAAATTCAACAGTGACCAAAGCTCAGACAGATTATTTTGCAAAGGTGTTCCTGTCAGCAGAAGTTTGTTCTCCATCTTCAAGTACTTTAGTTCTTTCAGCAATTTACACTTGTGGTTTTTCAACCTGTGGCCCTATAAAATACAAGAACATAATTATTAGTTAGAAGGATCACCTTGATCTCCAAAGCCTAGTATATTAGCCGATATGGAAAATTACCTCATCAATCACAACATATTTCCATGGATAGTGACGCAAACTTCTTTTAGCATCATTCATAGCAACCTCATATGAAGTAATAACTATAGGGAATTTTGGACCAACAGTTTTGGGCATGTGTTTCCTCCTGAGGTCATCCCTTGTTTTCTTATCCCCATGGTAGATGATTACATTTATGGAAGGCGTGAATCTATTCAACAAGGGAAAGAAACTTGTAACAGAGACCCCAAAGCTTTGCATCTATACAAACATGAACGGTGAAGAGAGTACCTAGCGATCTCATTGAACCAATTTGAAAGAGTAGACAGTGGAGCAATGACTAGAAATGGACCATCCAACCCATTTCCTTTCAAATGTGATAAGAAACCAATCGTTTGAATTGTCTTTCCAAGTCCCATTTGATCAGCTAAAATTCCATTCAAACCATTTTGCCACAATGATATTAGCCATTTGACACCTTTAAGCTGATAAGACTTTAACTGTCCACCAGTGAGAAGAGGAACTAATTCACTCTGCTCTTTCATAACTCTTTCTTCTTCAGTCAGATCTGGGTTGGTGGTGTCACCAACTTCTTTATCTCTAGAAATCATAGCAGCAACCGCTCTCTTAGCCTTGGTCTGAATGAAGAAAGAAGCATCCAATAAACATCCCAGTAAGTTGATTTTCCCAACGAAACAGAAAATCACAAAGTATATCCAAAGATCATGCATGGTGGATGAAAATTATAAAAAAGAACCAACATTGTTGTAGTGAGAAGCAGCCTTTCTTTTGCGTCCACGACCAGTCTTCTGGGGCTCAGCTTTGTGGCTCTCACCTTCAATACCATTCTAGCAAAAACAAATATCAGCCACAAAAAAGAGTCACATAAGAATAACGATTCCCGTTCAAAAAGTGAGGAACAAATGTAAAGAAGAAGGCAATAAAGAAGGTTACATTAGTAATATCCTCCATTTTCTCAAGGAGGAACTCAGAGTAGAGCTGAGTTTGCGTTAAGAGCTCGTCGAGTTTAGTAAACTGAGTTTCGTTAAGATCAGGAGCATCAGCAGATCCAGCATTGTTTGTTTTCTCGTCATCTTCCCGAATTTTGAGCAGCTGCTCTTCCTCCCGAGCCATGGCTTCGGAAATAAGAGATGAATCTCCAATTTTTGCTAGACGTATCTCTTCCTCAACAACAGTACCAGTTCCCTCCTCACAGTTATCCTTCAAAATCAGAGAAAGGGCAAAATCAAAGTAATGCCCATTTACAGAAAACTTTCACATTCCTGAGAGAAGAAAAGGGAAGAACAAACTTTATATTTCTAAGTTTTTTCCACATCAACACAGAACAAACCTCTTCGTTGAGAACAGAAGTGGGTGAATCAGCAGAGGCATCTTTCTCCGTTTCACCGTCGCTGGCAATTGCCGAAGCCCTAAGAATCCAAAATCGAGAAATGGAAAATCAACAGCAAGACAAAACGAATCCTCCAAATCACGATAAGCCAAAATTACGCACTGAGGGAACTTAAAAAAAAAAAAAAAAAAAAAAAAACCCGAGGCGATTTCGAGGGCGCTAAGGACCCAGAAAATCGCCGGGAAGAAGGAACCGAAAAGGTAAGGTGAGAGACTTACGAAGTGATTTTTTGGGAGCGTAGGCTAACCATCGACGAAGAAGAAGATGCTCCTCCGGTAAGGAAAAAGAAACCCAAAAGGCTGGAGAAGAGAAACCACCAAAACGAACAGTCTCCGTCGCTTTTGGAGAGACAAATTCAAAAACGAGGGTATAATGAAAAGACACACACTCTCTCTCTACTCTCTCTCGTCTCTCAAACATTTACGCATATTTTCTCATTTAATTTTATTAAATCGGGAGTACCGCCCAATGGCGGGAAGATTGAAATGACATATTTACCCCTATCATTTCCCTTTCCTGTATGGATCATCGAAAAACATGAAACAATTGTATGGGCCATTGAGGATTAATATTTGGGTCAAGTGGCTCCCCACCTCAATGTCTTTTCCGGCCCAACTTATTTGGCCCATTTAGGTTTTTTAATGGAGCGAATTGGTAAAAGAGGTTTTGTGTTTGTCTTAGAAATGTGAACCCGTCGCAGCGCTCAACACGTATCGCAGTTCTGACAAGCATGCATCCGACTCCTTGCTTTTTTCCGCCATCTGTCACCAGTGTTCCACGAGGCGAACTCTGATTAAGACAGCGTCGTACGATTATGTCGGAAGACAGGGACTCTTTAATTAAGCTTAATCCTGACGTGTTTAATTTTGTTAACTCCACCTTTATTAACCTTTTTTAATAATCAAAACCCGCCACCTTAATACATTATTCATCAGTCATAAGTTCATAACCCTTCTAAACAATTAAAGGTGTTTTATCTGAAAACTTATCGTCTCGGCCTCGTAAGAATAAAAACTAATTGCTCTATAAATTTAAGCTTCAAGAAGCTGAGAAATGATCAACGCGTTTAAGACCGTCCGATTAGGCCGCAAAGTCACTGGAGTTAGTTTTGCCACCGCTTCTGACCATCAAAAGATGGATAAAAAGCCTGAAAATCCAAACGAGAAAACCGGGTTCGTCTCGTGTACTGTCTATGTGTATAATAGTTTATGATTCATTAATTTTTCTTCTTTACTTTGATGTCGTAGTGACGTGATGTCGCATTCGTTTGGAGAAGGGTACGCGACAAGGTCTGATGAAGAAGGGTTTGGAGGAACTTATGGAGGAAATCAAACTCTTCAAAAGGATAACGAGATCCACGAGAACCACCCTGGTAATCAACATTTTTTAGTATTATAATTTATTATACTTGTTAATTTTGACAATCACTTCAGGATGTTGACGATTACTTGTGTGTTTCTTTTGTGTTATCGAAGATTATGACAAAACTCAAGGTAGCGAAGCCAAGGAGAAGGAGAAATCAAGGAATCAGACTCAAGCTCACTAAAGAAGAAGAAGAATGATTTACTTTTTTTGTTGTTCTTATGGTACAATAAATCCAGCTTGATCTTGCTAGTTTGTTGTATACTATCTGTTTTGAGTTTTTTTTTTTTTTCTATTTCAATTGCGTCTTTTGTTGACACGCAACCTTGCCGGTTTTTTCTTTTTAAAATTATCCTTACTTATGTAACAGTACTCGTTGAATAAGTAGTTCTTGTTGATTATTGAACTTACCCTTTTGACTGTGTTTTGCTTGTTTTGTTGGACCGTCAGATAACAAGTATCTTAGAAAAATATCAGCAATGAATTGATGTGAAAAAAGAAAGTAAACTAGAGCAGCTATGCCGACAACGAACAAAAGAAACCTAGAGCAGCTATAAGTTGGTAATTCATCTGATAAACTCTTTTTAAGAGATAATCAGATAACCGTCTGTAATGCCGACTTAAGACTATTGGATCCATAAGTTATGCAAATAGTAACGTCTTGCAAGTTTGAACTGAGAAGTCCACACTTGTCGGACAACTTGGATTTGATTATTTTAGTGCTCGACAATGATCTAATAGGATTTTAGTTCAAAGAACAATAAAATAGTTGGATTGACTTACATTTCCATGCACACATTAATTTTGTATCAACAACAACTGTACGTGATAATAGCAATTCAAAAGAAGGTGAGTTTATTAGTGCTACTTTTATATGTACGTAACCAAACACCTAATTACGTGTTTAACAGACGTTGAAGCCGCATGACAAGACTGCCCCTTAATTATCAGCTCTAGCAAATTAGTCAATGGTCTGAACAATTATGATAAAGGTCAACGGTAACGAAACAATCAAAGCAAAATATACGATTAATCACACATAAAGGCCATCAGAAAGAAGTTATTAGAATATACGGTCTCTGCCGTTAGGGGAGATTCAATCATCATCTTCTTCCTTATCTTCTCCATGGGAGAAACTCGCCAACCATATCTCGTCTTCCTCTTCCTCTTTTGCTTCACTCTATCAGTTGCTGCACAAACCATTGGTTCGGTTAAGTGCAAGACCGGTTCTCTCCGTTATCCTTTTGGTTTATCCGACGGTTATCCGATCCGATTCAACTGCTCTAAGACAACCGGCGATGCTTTAATCGGCGAATTCTCTGTACAGGAAGTGACCAACGCCAACATCTACGTCACGATCCCGCCGGTTTGCAAACGTAAGATCGGTATAATCGAACAACTTTTCCGGGAAAATCTGGCTCCGTCGAGTTCACAGAACATAATTCTCTTCCAAGGATGCAAAGAACAGTCGTTTAATTGTTTAATCCGCCGTCAATTCGTCGAGGATCGGCTAAATATCAGCAGATGCAAATCTCCGGTCAAATGTCTCGACGGAGCCACGACGACAATTGCCGCCGATGTGATGAGCATCGGAGACGTTTTGAACCGAAGTGGATGTGAATATTGGTTCTCTTCGATTACGCCTGATTCCAAGAATACTAAATCACAAGTTTCGTTCAATTTGGGTCGGCTCAAGCTTGATTGGTGGCTTAACAAAAGTTGCAGTGGCGCCAATTGCTCGGACAACGCTGACTGTACCGATGTCAATCTCGCTGACGGTGGATTCGGTCATCGCTGCACTTGCCGGGAAGGATTTACCGGTGAAGCCTTCACCGTCCCTGGCGGTTGCCGCCGATTAGGTTCGTTCCCGTCTTTGACTTTCCTTTTTTAAAAAAAATTACCGACAAGAAAGCAACCAATGATAGAAGGACAAGTGGGACTTTAGTAAACAAAAACAAAAAGGCTGACTTTTTAAAAATTCTCGGAAGAAACAAAACAGAATTGTCAATGATGTTCGTTTTGAGAAAACGAGATAGATAATTTCTCTTTCTTGGTTATTAATTCATTGTCATGGTTTCAGTTGGGAAACATAGAGGACTACGCAAACTCGTCGTTCTTGGTACTGGTAAGTACAACGCTAATCATCGGTTTAGTGAAGTCTCGAAAAGTGTTGAATATGTTTTGTGTTTTTGTTAAAGCAGGGGTTTTGGTTGGAGTTCTAGTAGTGGCGGTCTTTATGTTTGCATATATCTTCCGACACAAACAATCTGCGTCATCCGAAAGAACATCAATCGCGAATCGCTTGCTTTGCGAGTTAGCCGGAAACTCCAGCGTTCCTTTCTATACCTACAAAGAGATTGAGAAAGCTACCGACAGTTTCTCCGACAGGAACAAGCTCGGAACCGGAGCGTACGGAACTGTCTACGCTGGCGAATTCCCAAACAGCTCATGGGTCGCTATAAAACGTCTCAGACGTAAAGACACTACGAGCATTGACCAAGTGGTGAACGAGATCAAGCTTCTCTCCTCTGTGAGCCACCCAAACCTAGTCCGTCTCTTAGGTTGCTGCATCGCCGATGGAGAACCGTTTTTAGTCTACGATTTCATGCCAAACGGAACGCTTTCTCAGCATTTACAACACGAGAGAGGCCAAACACCGCTTTCTTGGCCCCTCCGTCTCGCCATTGCGTCTCAAACCGCGAACGCAATCGCACATCTCCACTCTTCAGTAAACCCTCCTATCTACCACCGAGACATCAAATCTAGCAACATCCTCCTGGACTACGAATTCAACTCCAAGATCTCGGATTTCGGACTCTCTAGGCTCGGCATGTCCACCGATTTCGAAGTGTCTCATATCTCCACGGCTCCACAAGGCACTCCAGGATATGTAGACCCGCAGTATCACCAAGATTTTCAGCTCTCAGACAAGAGCGATGTGTATAGCTTTGGAGTTGTTCTCGTCGAAATAATCTCAGGTTTTAAAGTCATAGACTTTACTCGTCCCTACTCGGAAGTGAATCTAGCCTCTCTTGCGATCGACTGGATAGGAAGAGGGCGTGTGGTAGATCTCATCGATCCATGCTTAAAAACAAACAAGGATCCGAAAACGTTTGCCTCTATCCACAACTTAGCCGAGCTGGCGTTTCGCTGCTTATCCTTTCACAGAAACATGAGGCCTACAATGATAGAAGTTACTGAAGATCTCCAACGGATTAAGCTAATGTACTTTGGTGCAAGTCAGGGAAGTCCAAAAACAGATATGAAGAGACAAGTATCATCTCTGAGTGTATGAAAGTCGCGGGCTGCAGAAAATTAGATTAGTTCCGTCTTATATAACTTCTGTTTGGTTCCTTGTGTATGAAGTAAAAACCCACAACATAGCACATTTGCTAAAAACATTGGGCCATTTCAATTCTACAGATGTCCTCCGAGGTGGGCCTTGGGAATTTACAATGTGATAGACCACCTATTAAACATAATATAAGTTTTTTTTGTTAGTGTTTAGAAAAGCATTAAAGTAAATTAATGAGGGAAGGGTCGTATATGGTCAGTGGAAGATACATACGCAGCACATACTCCAACAGTTCTCGACAGCTCATTGCTTCCATTTGTCAGCTTATCCGAAGCCGACCATTTTTGAAGACTTTAGTTTTAAATTACTTGGATTTAACTTAAAACTGAATTTAATTACTCGTTTGATTAATAGTACAAAATTACGACTGAAGAAAAAATAAAAATAAAAATCTAATTCGTTGGTTTGTAAAATTAAAGATAAAACAACTGTAACCCCGCACGTACGCCTCCGTAGTACCCTGTGAACAGCTTTCGATGAATTAATTAATTAGTAATTACATTATCATTTTAGGGACCAACAAAAAATACATTATCATGTACATGTATATTTATTAGTTATCGTCCAACTATAAAAGTTTATGTAAAATATTAAAAAAAAATTAGTATATTTGAGTTTATGCTCTTGTTATAATGAAGGTACAAAATTCCAAGTTATACAAAAACAAAAGAATGTTGTCAACGAAACTATATCTCTATAGTGATATTGGAGTAATATCCGAAAAGGTCAATCAAATTATTTGGGAAAATAACAGAGAAGTAGGTATATCTTTGACCAGTCATGCGGATGAGAGCCTCCAGAGAGAGAATTTGGAAACGAAACGTGGCATGAACCCACTTGCCACTCACCCACCTGAGAAAAGCGATTCTCTCTGAAGTCTGAAGTCTGAACCATCACCATGTGATATATATTGACAACCGATGTCCTCTTTTGACTTCAAATTATTTAACATAACCCAAGGTGGTTCTCAAGAAAGAAAGATTACTATCAAAACTATTGTAGATACTAAGTAGAGAAGGCCTACAAGAAGCTAATCCATCATCAAAAATCATATTACCTAGTACGAGTTAATCATGAAAAAAAAAGTGATAAGAAACTACTCCATGTGATGTTAACCTTGTTAATAAAGAGGAGAAGGGGTTAACCTAGTACGAGTTAACCTTGTTAACCTCCATTATTATTGGGTAAACATAGACTACATGAATAAGAATGAAAAGAGAGAGAGAGAGAGATGGAGAGAGATGCAGAAGAAGCACGTGGGGTCAGGCGAAATGGTCGGCATCGCCAGCTAATATGAAACCTTCTTTTCACTATTGAGTCAAACCACCACAGTCAATGCTGCTGCAATTGGCCGCGACCGGAACGAGATCATGGTTAAAAAAGGAAAAGAATAATAATGCAACAGCTGAAGTTTCTGGTCACTATGGAGTATGATTTTTGCATTATGATTACGTCTCTATACGTACTAGTAAGATATTAGAAAAGTCATTACATATATTGTCAAGGAAGGATATATGCATGCTTAAATACGATGATATTTAACAATCTTTGGTCGAATTTATTGCAAAGAAGAAGATAGAGTAGAAGGAGAGAAGAGACACTCTGGCTGTCCCAGAGGCTCATTGATTACTGTTTTCTTGTTTGTAAAAATAAAAAAAATAAAAAATGAAGAAAATTCAAAAAGGGGAGTGACGTAGCTTTCAAAGACACTTCCGTGGAAGAGATGCCATCTCTCCAAATCTGGCTACTATGACACTTTCCTTTTATATCTTTTCCCCCTCATGAAATTTCTTTTCTTTTCTTTTCTTTCTTCTTTCTAATTTATATCTATTCATTTTATCAACTATTAAAATTTGAATCTTTTGTTTTGGACCCACGATTATATTTATTATTTACCCAATGCTCTTCATATATACCTTTTTTTTATTTATATAGAAGTGATAAATAATAAACTATCCAAGGAAGGGAACTTTTCATTAACCAGTAGAATAAAAGAAAGAAAAGTAAATGCAGGTTGACCATTTATATTTTTTGGTAATTAATAATAACCCTGCTACAGAATCCTCATTTAATATGTTTTTTCATTAAATAGGTTCCTTTCTGTGTGTATTTGGAAAAAAAAGAAAAACATTAGTGCAAAACAAAACTATATACACTTGCTCTACATATTAAGCGATCTTAAGGACGCCTCTCGGAATCATCCAATATTGCCTTCAAATTAATCTTCCGCAGAAACTTTATTCTACATGATTTATTTGTTTGAACTTATATATCTATTTCTTTTTTTTTGGGTTTACATTCTATCAATATTTTATACTTATCTATGCGTACGTGTGTATTTGTCTTTTTTTGAAAAACAAATAATAATAATAAAAATGTAAGTCAAAGACTCTTCGCAACTTCTAAAGTCTAAACTGTAATGTTTATTTTGTCTAAACAGTATTAATGTTCTAATCTACTAATTTGCTTAACTATATTTTTAATTGGTTTTGATATAAGTTTTATTATTTTTCAATTAGTTAGTCTAAGATTAAATAAAAAAATAGACTACTAGTTACCGTTGAAATGGAAATTAACTCGACAATTTTGATAACTAAGAAAAAAACACAGTTATTACGTTATGACAAAAAAATATCATGTCATATGTGATGTACACGACGGCCTAACATTTTGGCGATGCATATATCACTTCAAAATGCAACAATAGAGATACGTATCTAGATAATCTTTTCACACCGACGATACAAATTTTGTTCATTCGGAGTCAGACTACGGGACTAGGTTGATATTTTTGCTTATATTGTATCTTCTTTGCCTGATTAGTGAAATGGTTTGTATTCATTTTCGAATATATATTATATTATATCCCCAGAAAAATGAGAAAAATAAACAAATCATTTTTTGTTTTAATGTTTTTTTATATATAAATAGCAAACTGTAAGGGGAGCGTGTCTCAGCAGAAATTCTTGGGCCTATTTTTGTCCAAATTCCAATAGCCGAACAGCCATTTGACACGTGTCTAAGACATCACCAGCTAGAGTAATTAATTACTCTCTTTGTACAATGTACATATTGGTATTGGTTTGATGATAATATAAAAATATATATTTTCTAAATAGTAATAAACTGATTACATTAATACAATAAAATAAAAATTCGTGAATATTGTCTAAAGTTTTTAAAAAGGAAAACAAGTTATAATAAAATAATAAACAAGAAGTATTTTGGTTATTATGGCTCTATCATTGATCCTTTGTGCATAAGAAGAAGAACTAAATGAGTATTAATGAGTACTGACTATATAAATACTTACTACAGCACAAGGCTTCTCTGTGCAATTGACTGTCCCTACCAGAATTAACTCTCTTTATCTCTCTCTCTCTCGCTCTCTCTCTCAAAGAGTCTCTAAAGTGAGTTTATAATTAGACACAGAGGAGCTCTGTGTCTAATGGCATGCTTAGAAATGTACAACTCCAATGGTGGTGGTACTCCCATGAGTCCTAGAATCTCTTTCTCTAACGATTTCGTTGAGATTAGGCCTGAGACGACCAAGGCGACGACGAGATCAAGCCCTCTATCTAAACCAGAGGGTTCTTCTTCTTCTGATAACTTCGAGTTCTCTGTCTCGAACTACACGATGATGCCAGCTGATGAGCTCTTCTCTAAAGGAAAGCTTTTGCCTTTCAAGGAAACCAACCAAGTCCAGAGAACATTGAGAGAAGAGCTTCTCGTTGAAGAAGACGAAGATGAAGAAGAAGGCCCACGTGATGCTACCAACATCTTCTCTCTCAAGCCACCCATCTTCTCTTCTTCTTCTTCTTCTTCTTCTAAGGGAAGGTGGAAAGGGCTTTTAGGCCTTAAGAGGGCCCATGTTGGGTCTAAGAACAATGAAGAACGATTTGTTCATATGGCTCACAACAAATCATCTCAGGTACTTTAATTTATTCTCTGATCTTGCTTAATTGGGTTTGTGAAAAAATTTCGACTCTTTTTCTTCATTCATAGTGTAGTTTGTTCCTAAAAGGATTATGTAAAAGTATACTCGTTGTCAAAAATTTTAGGAAGCAATGGGTGGAAGAGCCATGTCAAGTTGCAGGGAGATGAAGAAGAGTATGTAGTAGAGCTTTAAAAAAACCAAGAACAAAAAAAAAAGCTTTCTCTTTGTTTTGATTTATTTATTTAGGAACATGGTTGCTTCCGGATTTTTTAAAGTTATTAGAATTATGTTAATCTTATAAGATCTAAAAAGTCATTTAAAAAAAACGAAGAAAGAAAGGCAGTTTTATGTGTTGTTTACGGAGATGGTCTATTACTACTCTCTATTTCATCAACTCTTCTTTTTCCACTATTCATGTTTTTATCTATCTTATGAGGTTTTTTTTTTTTGTTTTTTCCATGCTTCAAGGGTGAGGTTTATAGTAGATCTGTCTTTGTCTGTGTTATGGAACACACTAGTTTCAACTTTTTGGGTGTACAAAAAATAAATAAATAACAGAGTGTGAGTAGTTCAGAAAATTTAATTTTGAGTTTTTAAAAATTGAAGTAACGCATATGTCTTTTGTCTTGGCCTTTATAGAGAGATCTCTTGTCTGTCCATTTGTTATTATTTACTTATTACCCACTCAACTCGAACCTCTCCCTCTCGTTGACTGCATTATCTACTACTTAATGCATCAGAGTGATTCGTAAAATATTGTACAATTCATGCAAAAAGTTAGTTTCCAGTTCCCCCATATAACACAGCGAGTAGTTTACAACTTTACATAGTTTCCAAAGCTATGTAATATCTGATATCATCACCATTAAGAATTTAAATGATGGACACACCTGACTGAGAGTAAACTCAACGAGTATAAAAAATATTATCTGATTTTAAACAAAACATATAATCAAAATATTATCTGATTTTGTTTATAAAAATATTAACCTCCCAAAATATATCTAAACAAACATAATTTTTTTCAATGTTGCCAGTTTTTGAATAATTCTATTTTATGAATTTTCAGTGTTTTTTTTTTCTTTTCAATTATCTAAATTTTCTTTGGAACACAAATTACAAAGACGATTTTACGAGTATCATTAATCAACTGAGAAGCGGATTGGGCTTCTATTTTAGCAGTTGAGATCCATCAGAAAAGAATGCGCGTGCTTATATATTTTCTCACTGTAAATTCAATCTATGAAATTGCCACGTGGCATTTCATATTATGTGGCTTTGGATTTTGTAAATTGTTTTCTCCTCGCGACTTCACCCACAAGACAAAGAGATTGATCCAACGCACGCTCTGAGATCGCCGGCTCATCCTCGGCGCCGAACAAACGAGAAGGTCGAGGAAGAGATTGACCAACTATGGATTCAACGCCTGTGAATTGGGAAGCGCTTGATGCTCTCATCATCGATTTCGTTAGCTCTGAAAACCTGGTTGAAGCCGCCGCCGCCGCCGCCGCCGCCAATTCATCGTCTTCTCCATCATCATCGTCTCCGTCCTCTCCTTCTATTTCCTCTTCCTCTTATCACTCCAGATTGATCATTCACCGGGTCCGAAACTCGATTGAATCCGGTGACATTGAGACCGCCATCGACATCCTTCGCTCCCACGCTCCTTTCGTCCTCGATGATCATCGGATTCTATTTCGCCTCCAGAAACAGGTGCGAATCTCTCCTTGTATTCAAAAACTGCAGTCGATTATTTAGGATCAATCGGTATATGGTTTTTCCTAGGGTTGAATTAGGGAATGTCTTGGATCGAATTCTAAACTCTATTTTTTGGTTTCCCCTAAAGAAATTTATCGAGCTGCTGAGAAAAGGAACACATGAAGCTGCAATTGGTTGCTTGAGGACTTGTGTTGCTCCCTGTGCTCTTGATGCTTACCCGGTACTGGAATATTCCATCCCCTTTTATTATTCTCTCTCTTTTTTCGTAACATCACTATATATATTCTTGCTCTCTCTGTGTATTGCTTTTACCTCCAAATTTATTGTCATTAATGCGTATATCTAGTCAAGTAGAATAAACAACCTTCTTATTTATCGTATCCTATTCTATTGATTCACCATCTTCTTCTTTGTAAGGAAGATATGTTTTGTTTTCTCTATTCCTGACATCCCAAGTTCTGACGTCTGTATATATCTATATATCTCAAGGAAGCTTATGAGGAATTCAAGCATGTTCTTCTTGCACTCATCTATGATAAAAATGACCAAACCTCTCCGGTAGCAAACGAGGTATTCCACCTTTCTTGCAGTTTTTCTTTTCTTCTCTTTGGATATTATCTAATCTTGCGGGCACAGAATGTCCTATGTTTTTTTTTTTGAACTGCTGCTTATACATCATGCAGAATTTGTATTTTGGATTATAAGGAATGCGCTTTCTGTTCTACAGTGGGCAGAGAAAAGAAGGTATGAAATGGCTGGACTGATGTCATCTGTTCTGAGAGCTTCTTTACAAGCATATGATCCAGTTTTCTCAATGACACTAAGGTATCTGATAAGGTAAGGCTATATTCGTTTTTCAACACTGTTATTTTCTCTTGTGTTCTTTTTCACTTACTCTGAATAATCCTCTTTTCTACCTTTACCCCAGCATACATAAAGGATTTTGCTTTCACCAAGGAATTTCCTCTGCAGTTTCTGATCTCACTCATAGACTGCTCCTGGAGGAACGTGATGCACCAGCTACTCCTCCTGAAAGCATGTATGAAGTACCACCATTTGATGAGGTAATATGGCAGTTAGTTTCTTGATCTTGTAATTGAAATGTGATTGTATCTACATTCTACAACACACAGAACTGATTTTTACAATTCAATTTTCAGGTGGATATACAGGCTCTTGCTCATGCGGTGGAGCTCACTAGACAAGGTGCTGTTGATAGCATGAAATTTGCCAAAGGTGACCTCTTCCAGGCATTCCAGGTTTCAGTCCTCCGTCCTACCTTTTTCTGCTTTATTCTCAGTTATCATCAATCCTTATCTTCTCTACACTGTTCAAATGGTCTCTACATTAGTTTGCACTTAAGTGGTATAATATTCTTACTTACTATTATTGTTGTGTAAGTTTATATATCTGCATCGCAGCCTAATTCTTGCTTCTACTTCTTGCAGAATGAATTGTGCAGGATGCGATTAGATGTTTCGGTTCTTGATGAACTTGTTAAGGAGTACTGCATATACAGGGGTATTGTGGATTCAGGTCGGTGATCAACCCTATGCAGTTTCAAGATACTTTTTCATAATCTACCTCTTTTTGTTTTTGGATTTAATTAATTTCTGATCGGTTAATCTTCTATCAGAGATGCAAATGATCACTGGTCCTGCCAAACGCAACCAATCGAAGGTGGGCCGCAGCTTATCAAGAGATTGTGTTTCGGAAATAGATCTCAACACAAGTCAATATTCAGATATTGAGAATTATAGCAACAAGAGCATGCTTGATGACACTGAAATGTCTAGCGAACAAGGAGGTGACATTGGCACATGCTACGGCAGCGTACCAACCAGCGTTTGTGAAGATTGCAGCACTAGCTGGTCAAATCAATGTGAAAATACAAGATCTCTTGGTAGAATTAGATCCCATTTGAATAGCGAGAGGAATAAACGCAAAAGATGGTGTGGGCGTACTGCTAAAGTAGATTGTCATCCTGGTCTTTCATTTGCTAAGTCCGAGTCAGGCATAGAGGGCAAGTATGAGATAGCCTTGGCTTTGAAGGAACTGGTTAGCAAAGGAATGGCAGCAGAAGCTATTTTCGAGATCAGCAGCATGGATCCAGATTATTTCACAAAAAACCCGGGTTTACTTTTCCATCTCAAGCAGGTAAGGGTGCAAGAACAACTTAAAGTTCTTTGTATATTCCCTCAAGAGATGTTGTTTGTAACTTCTTCCTTTTGCTGAGTAAAGGAAGTAAACCTGTCCATATATATAAATCTACAGGTTGAATTTCTGAAGCTGGTGAGTACTGGTGATCACAATGGAGCCCTAAAAGTTGCATGCTCTCACTTAGGTCCCTTAGCAGCCAATGACCAGTCTTTACTGAAGACATTAAAGGAGACGTTATTAGTTTTACTTCAACCGGACGGAACCACACCTGGGAAAGATTTGCCTTTGAATGATCTGGCAAATACGCTGCAGGTAACAATGTTTTTAGATTTGATATTTTCTGGTTTTGTCTGATGAAAAATCAACGTACAACTGGTGTTTGTTTCTGCCATTCCTTTTAAGGTTTCTGTCGGTAAAAGGCTCGGGATCGAAGAACCAAAGCTAATGAAGATTATAAGAGCGACACTTCACACGCATACCGAGTGGTTCAAGCTTCAGATGTGTAAAGACCGGTTCAATAATCTCCTGAAGATAGATTCGCTAAAAGAAGTAAACACTGATTTGATTGGTGGTATCAAATCAAGATCAAATGGAGATAGCAAAACAAACTTCTCGTCTCAAGTCACGACGACGTCTTCAAGCACCATGACATCAGAAGATGGTGGAAGCAGCAGCTTGATGATGATGACTCAGACTTCGTCAAGAGAAGCTTTGTGGGATGAAAGTGCAATTCTTAAAGTAATGGTACGTTTTCAAAACCCTTAAAGACTTGTGGGTCAGTTTCTTGTTTTTCGTTTACGATTTTGGTTACATTATGTATATATATATATAGCTAACTAGAGATGGTTTCAGGAATTTCTGGCGTTGCCGAGGTCTAATGCAATTCAACTTCTATCACAATACGATGGAAACGCTGAGGCTGTGATTCAGCAACTCTTTGGTTAAAAATCAAACCAGACTAAACCGAGTAGAACGTGTCCCGTTTAGTTAAATTTGGATGAGTTATTATTGGTTTATTCATTTCTGCATTTGTTGTGTGTTTTTTTTGTACATTTAACTTAACACAGACACACTTGTGAAAAAAAGAAATAAATAAGTTTTGGCAATGAAAAAAATAAATGAGAAATAAATGGGCTTTTATTTTTTAGAAGAGATGGGCCTTGATAAAAAGCCCATTTATTTTACTTTTTGGGTAAGGAAAAGCGCATTTATTTTAAAAGTATTAAAGGGAGAAAAAACACAATAAAAGAAAAACCTTAAAAACAAAGAAAAGACGGAAAAAGGAAAAAGAATAATTAAGAGATAATTAATTGCCTAATTGGAGAGTGTATGGCCTCCGAACCGCTAGGGCTTTTGATTCGGAGTCGGACCAACTTTAAGGTTGTAAAGCAAAAAAAAAAAAAAAAAAAGCTTTTGGCTCTGTGTTTTTTGAATGAAAATATTTTACGTTTTCTATTTAATCGAACATTTATATATGAAATATGAATGTATGAAGATATCTTTAATTTTGTTTCCGACACGTAAATTATATTCTGAATCAAATTTGGTTCTGTCTTCCCGCTCACACTTGCCAATCTTCTATTTTTACTTCTCGTACTATATATAAATAAATATTTTCAATATATAAGAAGAAAAGATCGTGTCAAGCTCAAGTAATTAAATATTTGATTCCGTTATTTGCATGTTTTTCTTGCACCGGTCATGGTATTTTTAGAAGAATATAATAGAATGCCACCTACTTTGTAATAAGCTAATAATCATAATTATAAAAACTCGACTTAATTAACTAGTTTATTTGCAATAAGCAGCAGATACAATCTCTATATAAATGACCCAATAGAACCATGGTGTTACTTCACTATCACCACTCTTTTAAGTATACTCAAGAGTCCTCACCAACGATATATAGTTTTTTTCCTTCTTTTTTTTCTGTTTTCTTGTTTCACCACCCATTTTTCTTCCAATGGAATCGTCTATGGGTCAAAAGAAAACATTGTACGCTTGTGTTTTTCTAATGATGGTGTTTTTTCTAGACTTCAATTGCGTCCATGGACGAACCCTAAAAGACATAAAAATCAATGATGGTCCTGGTGATAGCAAGAGGATGATGGCGGTGCACAATGATCTCATGGTTGATGAGAAGGCAGTGCAGTTCTCGCCGCCACCACCACCATCGTCACAGTCGTCCGAAGGTAAAGGGCCAGAAGATTTCAGGCCTACGAGGCCCGGCAATAGCCCTGGCATTGGCCATAGTTTACCCCACACTTAATTATCTTCATGCAATTTCACATATAATATAATGTGTTGCTAATATTGTTGTTCGTTTCAAAATTTCTTCAGTTTGCTTCGTGGAATAAAATTATTTTATGTTTTTTTCAAGTCGATCGTGTGGTTGAATAGAAACGATACATCATACATAGATATATACTATGGCAAATCATTTTAACCAGCCTAGCCAGAACATTATATATATTATGTGGGATCCCAATTCCCAAATGCTTAATTTAAAGTATATATATCAAAGAGACAAAAGAATAATAATTAATAATCATGCGCTCGCATGGAAAAAGATCATACGATAACATAGGTATGAGTGAATCTATTAGCTAGTAATTTGTTCACTTTTAGGACTTACTAACTTTAATACACGACTACATATCTCTTGGTACGTTGGTGTATGATTAATATATAAATTATAATTAGATAGTAACCGTGAGGTTGATGGTTGAGATTATGATAAATATCAAATACTGGCTTTTAGCTTGTTTTCAATATGAATCAATGGCCTTCGCTGTATGTTTATATGTGACTGTTCGTACTTCGTACTATACAAAACCCCTTAATTATAGTTTTCTTTTTTAATAAAATTTTATATAATCAATAAACTGAGAATAAAATGAAATGGAAAAAGAGCTGTGGTCGGATGCTGTGGTAGGCCCTTCAAAGGACTTCCCTGCGTGTGGGAACCAACCAACAAAAATAAAAAAAATCTAAACTTTTTCACTTTTCAACATGTCATTATAAAATATAAGCTGCATTTACTTTTCATTTCTAACTCGAATATTCAAAATGATGCGATATCCTGACGCAAAATGAAAGCGATAATAGTTAGCATAAACGAGAGGCTATGTTAACAGAAGAATGAATAACTTAGCTTGGAGCTAGCTAAGGTCTTAGGGTAGGTCATACTTCTCAACAATATATCAAAATATTATTCGAAACGAAACTGTATCAACATAGAATTAATCAATAATCGATGATTGTAATTTCAAGTCAAAACTATCCAAAGAAAAATAAATATTTGTCGGTTTTATTTGTAGGTTTCGCTGGAAATTGTGTTAAGCACTCTTGATTTTACATGTTAAGGTTCTATTTTATATATCTATAATTCAGTCTAAACCTATTTGCTAATAAAGAACAATTTAGTTAAAAGTAATAATAATAAAATACTGACAGACGACAAAGAAAGAAAAGAGTGAGTGGAGGGGGGAGGAGAGGAGTTAGTGGTTAAGTTGATGGCGACGGTGCCTTTTGACTTGATTCTCTTCCCTCACTCACTCACGAACTAACCTTTTTCTTCTTTCACTCGTTTTTGATTAATTATTGTTAAAACTAAAGTAATCATTTTGCGCTTTAATACAATCTTGAAATATTGTATATTCTTTCTTACAAGCATGGCGGCGTTGCCGGCGGACACATTGTAAGTTAAGAGTGGTTTTAAAATGTATGGACAAAAGAGAGGTAAACAAGCTTATGTCTCTAATATATAAAACTTTCACATGCCGACTCTTCCTAAATACGTATTTCTATCATGCGACGAATAAGTATGTATTTTATCATTAAACGTATTCTTAAACAAATGTTCTCACATATTGGTTACGTTCAAGATGTTCTTTTTTTTTCTTAAAAACAATCAACAGGTTAAGTGTTCCGATAATTTTGTAATAACATTTCGATTCAAACTTGTTACACGCGATATATGATAAATTACTTTAAACGATCGATTTGGTTTGATATCAACTGTCTACAAACTTTACAAAAACGAAAGAACTGATCCTTATTGTCAAGTTGTACGTTATCATTCTTTGTATATAAAAAGAGTACGTTTTCATATGCAGTAGTATGATACAAAATACAGAACAAAAACAAAATAATTGATAACAAATTACTTTCAAGCGTCACAAACACCATAACTACAGTTTTTTATATATATCCATAACTACACTTACGCATACTTAAAAAATCAGTCATATACAAAACTAATTAAAGAAGATAGAAAACATGTTGCATTGTATTTATAAAAATCTTGGAGTGCTTTCTTGTGGTCATAAAAATAATTGATATAAAATGGTTATAGAAGCCAAATTGATATAAATACGATAGTTGATATAATTATTAAGGGAAGGTATATATAATGATTACAATATATTTGGTATGAAGAATACTTTTTATATATCTGACCTGATCGATGGTAACCAACCCTTTTTGGTAGTGGAGAAGATCTTATATTTGTGAGTGGGGGTGTTCATTTTTTATAATATACATTACAAGTCAAGAATATGATCATATAAATTAGGGCATCTCAAGAATTGCAATTTTGCACTTTATACAGCCAGCTAGTTTTATAACACGTATTTAAAATTTAATTTTCTAACACCATGTTTGTTACTAAAGAAATAAAGTTACTAATTCCCAACAACCATCTATATAATTTTATCGATATATTCTAAAAGTTAAACATGTAAACTAAATGATTTAAAGTATATAGAGAGCCTGTTTACAAAAAAAAAAAAAAAGTATATAGAGAGCCTTTGTATATATTAAATATCTATGGAGATAGTAGCCAGACGGGAGAGGTGTCCTTGTAACAAGTGTGCCTTTCTGTGGTTAGGGAAGGGCGGCTTTTGTAGAACTTAATTAGCCTTTGGAATTTTATTGTATTTCATTTCAATACTAGTAAATATATAACCATTTTGAGTAAACGATTGTTAAATCCTGACTGGACCAGATGATGTATGTATAATTTTTCGTTTCATACTTGTAAATTCCGTCTCAGTTGAGATAGCTTCTGAAAAATATAGTGTATATGCATGTTTCGTTTGTGCTTTTTCTTCTTGCCACCAAACATGTTACGTTCGATATCACTGGGGGGAAACTAACAAAAATATAATATGTAATACGAGTATGAGTTGGTATATTCAACAATGGAGCACTATGGGAGATTCAGGACCTCTGCTGAAAACCCCACGCCTAGATTTTTGTCGTATAAATATTTCTTTGTTTTGCCAAAAGTTGAACATATAAATTTTAAAAATTGAGTTATAAGTTTTTTTTTTTTTTTAATGATGATTGAGTATTTTTGACACCGACGTTGTGATATTATATTTACCTTAAAAGATACCAAATGACCATTTAAATTCTCCTTTTTTCCAGCTTGCCTATTTTGCCGTCCATATCGATCGTCTATTATGGCATATATATGTTTTATATGTACTATTATTAACCCCCCTCTGTTTTTCTTTTTCTTTTTTAAGTTATGAAAACTGATATATATATACACGAACGGTCCAAATGAAATCACTGTGTTAGTGTGTTCCTTGTTCCACTCACATTACACTTATAAAAAACGATATATATTTTTGGTACAAACTTAAAACCAACATAAGCCAAATTCGTGCAGTCTCAACCTTCCTCTCTCCATAATCAACACTTGAACTCTCAGTTCATATCATTCTTATATAGTATGAAGCTCTCAATTTATATCATTCTTAGTATTCTCTCAGTTTCAATGATGTTTAATAACATACAGTTTACCGACGCAAGACAGCTGCGGGAATCAAACGATCATCAAGATCACCATTTCACAGTCGGGAACACTGATGATTTTGCACCTACTTCTCCGGGTAACAGCCCAGGTATTGGTCATAAGACGAAGGAGAATAAAGAAAATGTTGAAGACTTTAAAGGTGGTTTCCATTAAACCTACGACTCCAGGACATAGTCAAGGCGTTGGACATTCTACCAAGAACAATAATGAGCCTAATGCGAAGAAAAGGTTTAATAGTTTTAGTGTGAAATTTAAATTATTGCGCAAGTGCAATTTTATTTTATATATAGTACGTGTGTGTAGTTTTTTATTACTAGTATGTCACTTGTAAGTGGATCGATTAAGCATTGTACCAAATCATTAATAAAAATTAAATATGATTTGTGTTTAATTTACTTCATCTGAGACTTTTATACATATATACTACTTCTTTTCTTTGTTAAAGAACTTTAATTTCTTGCATGCGTTTTTGCATGTTAATATATACATAGTTGGTACTTCCTAGTGAGCTTCTCTCTTATATAATACTTGTCATCATGTGCATAAAAAAATAACAAAGCACACGAAGACCGGTTTGCTGGCGATTTTTTTTTATATATCTAGTAATTATTAAACAAATAAACGATAGCTTAATTAATACTATAATACGTACACTTTTTTCTAATAACAAGTTTGGTGGGTGACTATACTATAACAAAAGAAAAGCTTCAAGATTTCCAAATTGGGGATAATGAAAATGACTTAACTGAGTTCTAATCTACCCTTTTTTTATTAGCTTCTAAAGTTTTTCAATTATAAAAAAGAAATTTATTTACTTACTGTTGTTTTCTTCACCCACCATATATGCCATGACTGCAAATTAATACTGATTCTGCCTTCTTTACAGTAAAATAATTTGAACATTAAAAATTTTAGTTCTTTTTTTTTTTTTTTTGTGAACAAAAATTTTAGTTCATCATAATTTAGTTCATCATAATAACTTTGTTGAATACTTCGAAGTATAGATAGCCAACCATCACTTTTTGTGAATATTTGAGTGCAAATTAATACTGATTTTGCTTTATATTTTTTGAAACAAAATCTTGAAAAGCGATATGCCCCAGACGCGCGGAATACACCAAAAAAAGTGATATATGCTTTTCGTATTAAACAAAAAAGAAATTGCACCAGCCGGGAATCGAACCCGGGTCTGTACCGTGGCAGGGTACTATTCTACCACTAGACCACTGGTGCTACGTTATTTGTTTCTCTAACTAAATTTATAACTATTTATCTAACACATTTATCTTTCGTAAAACTACTAGTTTTTTTGTTTTGTTTTGAAAACATATATAGGTCGGTTGAGATGAATATTGTTATACGAAAACTATCAAATAATCTAATTTTTTTTAAGATACTAGCACAATCATATGCTTAAATGAAGTATATATATTACTAACAATCTACTACTTTATTTTGTTTTACTTAAGTTATACGAGAATTATGAGCACATTATGTCAAACTTATGAAGTCATACAAATTATAAATAAATTTACAACTAGTTCATATGCATACAGAAACATAGGTCTGGCCATAAAGCACCGGAGCAGGAAGATCCATAAACGATTCCTATGCTATGCATGTGCAGTCGACAAATACACACTAGTTTAATGCAAATTAAATTGTCAAACTGCATCACGAGACCGCCTGAGAAAATAAACGATATTTATGTAAGAAACTTTTTTTAAAAAAATAGTGAATATATATAGAGAGAGAGAGAGAGTGTTAGTTAAAAGGACGTAGCTGCTTCATGAATCATGACAGTCTAAACGTGCACCCATTTGCTTACACTTTTTTAACGAATGATCACATTCACCTCAATTTGGTCTGAATTGGTTCCGAGGATCGGAATATGCTTTTTTATTATTCGGTGCAAATATTTACCGAAATGATCATCATCATATAACCATGTACATATATGCCTTTTCTTTATAATGATGTATTGATGTTCTCTATTGATCATTCACAAAGGAAAACTATTAAGATGTTAAAATACACGTTTAGAAAAGAATGCATGTACATGTTAATTTGTATTTTTGTTGTTGGATATGCAATGTATATTTCATTCAAAGACTAATGTTTTATAGCAACGCTCCATTTCTTGTTCGATGTTTTTTCAAAAAAAAATAAAATTAAATTGGGATTAAAATTCTTTGTCATGTTTTAGTTATATATATGCTTGCATATGAACTTCATTCATGGAATTTTCCCAAGAAGCTTGGAAATTATAACCAAACTCTAATTATTTCCAATGTATATTTAAGATACTAGATTATTAATACTATAAATAAATAATTTATTGGCTTTGTTTGTTGGAGGTTCACATGCACCAGCTAGTCATTTTTCTTCTCCATAAATAGCCATCTAGAGTTGAAGCCATTGATACACATGCATATACATTCAACTCTAATTCATATATCAATAATAATATCTCCTACGCTTTTTCTTTTATTAGTTTCGTTTACTCTTGAAAATTTAACACTCTCTCATAATTGCTATGGCTAAGTACACTTTGACTAGCTTGGCACTACTACTAATAGTGCTGGCTTTCATTCAAGAATCTCACATCGTTGAAGGTCGACCTTTGAATTCATCGGGAATCTCTGATATCTCGAAGAAACTTGGTGGCCATAACTCAAATCTGTCGAGCAAGTTAACGACGGAAGATCATTCATTGGATGCGTTTCGGCCTACCAAACCCGGGAACAGTCCAGGAATTGGTCACTAGCAATATGTTGTGACAAACTAAGATGCCATGGCTATGTTCTTAATTATAAGACATTTATTTGTGTGGTTTTGTCGACGTGTATTAGCTAGGGTACTGTTTTCTTCTCTGTGTGTTTTCTCGTAATTGTAATCAATAAATCTTGAACTTCAGTTAAATCGCTTTGTTTCTCGTAACTTATCATATATTCATTAATTATAGTTAGCAAGTATATTTTTCTAAACGATGATTAGTTTTTTTATTCTTTTTGGATATGAAACATCAGAATCCTTCCACCAACCACGATCTTTATTTTGGTAAAAAGAAGTATATATAATATATAACAAACATGTATATCACGTTTGAAAAAGATGTTCAGGAGATCATAAGGCAAACTATGCATGGATCCATTAGGGTTTAATTTGTCTTTAATAAGGAGTTACACCTTTTTTTCTTTTTTTTTGGGTACTTAATTCTCTAGATTCCAATTTGTATAATTTCATCGTTAGTTTACCTGTATAACATCAAATTCTATAATTACTTCGTAGTAACTTGCATCACCATTTATGGAATTCTACATTTCTCCTTGATGATAAGTCACCGACATAATATGAAATTGGAGGATACAAAAATAAGAGTGTCTGTATGTGCAAAATCAACTATATTAAGCGGGAGAACAAACTTTTATGTTTTAAATAAAAAATAGTGATTTCGTAGAAACTTTTTTACTCTAATTACTAGTATTAATAATGGAAAACATAACGTTTTATATATGCTAATCTTTTATTTAACGTAAATGAACACCAGCTTTTAGTAAAAATGAATTCAGCTCATAACATACTGTATCCACGACGACGTTTCAACCTCGAAGCATATATATAAGATATTATCAAGAATTATATATGATTTGTGTTAGTACTGTAGCTTGTGTGCATTGCTCGAATTTATTAACGAGTGTTATAGAATATAGAAAGTAAAAATAATATATGTATATATTATAACAAAGTCTTAGAATAATAATCAATAATGTGTCTAACCATGGTGGTGGGTCTGACCAAAGATTGTGCTGGTCTCTAGATCTTTAAATTGACGGCTGTGGCTGATTTGAAAGGTAAGAGCCAACTAAAATATTTTCCAAATTTGGTTTAATCCTTAATTAATGATTAGTGGTCGCAAGCTATATTGGCCTTAGGGCAAATGGAATAGTGGCAAAGGACACTCTGTTTGTGCGTTATTATAATGAAAGCTTTTTCATAGTCATAATAGGTGCAGCTCTTGAGAAGTTTGAAGGGCGACTTGAAAGCTCAAGACTAATTTAAGTATTAAAGGAATGTCAAAGTGATCTAATATAATAAGGCACCCAATGGTCTTGGAGTCCTTTAAAGCCTGCTCTCTCGCTGTCGTCGATCAATATGTGCTTAGCCTTTTTATCACATGTATAGGTCTTTTAGGTACCGGTACGGTTCATTAAAATGTCAAGTGTGATTCATTATATTAATATCCTTTCGTAGCAAAAAAACAAAACTCCGTAAGTGCTACCCGATCCCGTTTAACTCCGTAAGTGCTAATTGTAGCGGGCTTGCCCACGCGGTGACCAAACCGATGATTTAAAAGGTCTCTTATATTTGGGCTGTATTAAAAGTGAGGCTCGTTAATGCTTTCATCAATATGGGCCATATGGCATATTATTAGTTAGGCCCATTACAGTTTGCTCGAACTCGAAACCCATTTATACATCCTCTACTTATATTTTCACGTACATCCCTTCAAGAGTATTCAGTGTGATTAATTTCAAATTCGTAGCCCTTAATTTACTCCCTTTTCACCCCTTAACCTTACAACTCCATAATAATACCAAAAGCCTTTTTCAAAAAGATTATTGCAAGTTCGTACTTGCTTTAACGTAATTAACTCACTCATATACTGCACTTATACTCCTAATTAAAAAAGACCTTTTTTAATATCTAATACTTGCAAGAACAAAATATAAATTGTAAAATAGTGGCTTGATTATGAATGACGAGATCTGTAAATATGTGGTTTAGAATATTAGTCGCTGTCTAATACATGGTTTAAATGGTTCAGTTAGTGCATGTAATTCTAATTATGAGATTCTTTGCTTGTATAAAAAAATTAATATGTGATTTAATACGTCAATTATATATATATATATATATATATATATATATATAATGAAATTGAAAGACGTTTGTACATGGTCCACTTTAATTGTCAGCCGTCCGATCATCCAAGATTGTGACCGTTAGTGATGATGGGGTCTCAAGAACATCAGCGAATCGAAGCAATGGGGGCAACACGTGGAGAGGGAATCTCGAGTCAACGCTGTTAGTCGTCGAGAGATTCCCCGTTGCAACTGTACCGGATCGTACCGGTTTTGTCGTAGGCACACGAAAGTCCAACCAGACAACAACACACTCCTGCCTTCGGAAAGGTCCCAAACATGTTTTTAAGTCCGACTTTACCCCCAAAAGCCACGGATCCAAACAAAAGACAAAAGTCTTTGGCTTCTTCTTTTCTAGAAAAAATCGTTTTAATACAATCACACCTTTTTTTACCGCGGAATGTTTCGTATATTATTAATTTATCATGTTGTATAAATATTGTCAGCTATGTTGATATATGATTAAGTTCGTTTACGACCTTTATACCACATGAAATATAAATAAATGTGCCACACAATGTTGTTGTTCATTGCAAATTATTATATAGGAAATACCATATTAATATGGATTTGTAATCTATATATAGATGATATAGATGCTATTCAAAAAAAGAAAAATTAAATAAAAAGATCAAATAATAAGAATATTATGAAGGAAATCAAACTTAGGGATTAACAATTAAATTACAAAAGGGTAAATAAGTAATTACAAAATAATGAATACGTTATCTTGTTTCTATTCCTTTAGTTTTCCAGTCTATTGGTCTTTAGCCTATTTTCTTCAGGTGGAGTTCGCTCTCTCGTCCTCAAAAATATCGATCATTTTTCTTCTTCTTCTTTACCAAATCAAAAAAAAATTCCTAAATTTCAGAAGTTGGTTTCAGATGATTCCATGTTAGTTTCACACATGGAGCAAAAAACTCTAGCGACTACGCCTCTTTTCTTCTTCTTCCACCTTCGGTAAATCCTTCTTTCTTCCTCACTTTATTTTATCTTTTTGTTGATGATGGGTCTTCGATTTTCAAGAAAATTTTGATTTTCTTTTTATTTCAAGTTCGAATCTTTTTCTACTAGTCGTTGCTTCTTCTATCACTTACTGTTGGTTCTGGGTTTTAGTTCGATATTCATACAACAATTTAGAAGGATAAAAAAATCAAGTTTTGCCTTTCGCTATCGATGATAATATTTCTTTCCTCTTTGTCCTTTTCTGTTTATAGAACTATTTCTCGCTTTTGGTTTCTTCAAATGACAATACTCTTTTTTGGGTACTATTCTAATTTTTCATTTTATTTTTTCCTTTTTACATTTTTCGGATGGTTTTTATTTACTAGAATATTTATAACTCTTTTCTTTAAAAAGTTGGTTGAAGCTTTAGATTACATATAACTTTCATTGTTTATTGGCAACTTTTAGACTTTTCTCTTATTTGTTTGTGTTTATGTGTGCTACAGAGGAGCAACAATTGGTTCATCAAGGGCGTTTCATTGTCTTCTCCTTCTCTCATGTCTACTGCTTTCCTCAATCAATACACTGCATAACTTAGCTGAATATGAGTCTTTTGGTTCCAATGGCTTCTACACTTGTTATGCTGCTAAGGGGTTTATGGGCTTTAATGGTGGAGATTCTAACTGTGTAACTATCCCAAAAGCTGACCAGAATGTTTCTCCCAGTTCTCAGTTGTTATGTTTCCTTTCCGTTTTAGGACAAGAGAATCAGTTCGATTCACTTATACCTTTTTTTGGGTTGGCTTATCCCAAAGGACCGTTGAGTGGCTCTGCTCCCATCAGAAAGAATCTATTAGCTATAGTGTGGATGCCTCTAAAGCATGCCCACATAATAGGGTTTCAGCCATTTACTGGATTATTTCGCATAGGTGACACTCCTTGTTACAAGCCTCTCTCAAAAGAGCTTTATACTAAGAAGAACATGAGGGAGTTGAGTATTTTGGTTTCGGGAAATGTTTTTATGGTGAATCATCAGTGGGAAGGATTTTCATTAGAGCCAACGGAATCCATCAAGTTTTTATTTTTCTACCATACTGAACTCTCTTGGGCATCGAGAGTTGTTGTTTTTGGAGTACCTATGAAGGCGACCTCACCAGTTTTGATGCTTAATATCTGCAAAAAACCGGTCTTTTGGGTACATACTAAGAAATTCTCAGTTGCAGTTCTTATTGTTGCTGCTTTAGTCATTCTGATATTTTGCTTCAATGATTACTTCATCGAGGAGAACAACAAGAGAAACAATTGTAACCACATGGAGTTGAGAGAAGTTGATAAATCATCTACAATCACAATCTCCGCTAAAATGGATACTCTGCTAAGATTCATAAGCAAAGACACCCTCCAAAGAATTATTGAGGCTTCCAAGAACAGTAACATAAAGCCAGTTGCTTCTGTTTCTTCTTCCCACAAAGAAGCATCAGAAGATTTGAATTTCACAATAAAAACTGCAAAAGACAAGAAGAGGCGCCGGAACAAAAAGAAGAAGAAAGGAGGAATTAATGGATTAACACCCGAGCGCATAGATGTTTCAAGCAGTCACAGTGGACACTCAACTCCTATGTCTCCAATGTCACTAGAACCATCAACTACTCGAGCCACAACGAAGCCCGTAAGACCTTCTCCTAAACCGATCCTATCGCAATCAACAACGTTTTCGTTTTCAGGGGTTAAGCCAATGATCATACAACGTAGCTTACTGGCTTCAAATGTGAGAGCACTTGGAGCAAACTCAAAACCCGAAGTGAAAGAAGAGAAGACAAAAGATTATAAGTATGATATCTGGGGAGATCACTTGACAAGACTTCATTTGATGGATAGGTTTAAAGAGGTGAGAGAAGGTAAAAGCCCAGGTTTTGATGGATATGAATCTGAGAGTTTCTTTGTTAAGGGTCCTCAAAACTTAGATTCTCATGGCATGCTTGTAAGTTTTAGCGACCAGTCAGGATAATTAGAAGAAAAAAAAACTAAAATGGATAATATATATTTTATATAATAATAAATCAAAGCCCGGTGGGCTTTATGAGCAAACAATTTTTATGGCTAAATAAGTATGGTCGGACAAGAAAAGACAAAACACAAAAGTGTTTCAGTCGAAAACAAAATTTATTCTTTGGGAGACGAGGCCATTCTATTGGATACTATCTCTTTCGAAGATCAATATGACAAAAACGAAATCTTCATATTCAACCTTGATTCGAAAATGGTTCAACTACCGCACCGCTCTGTTTGCTCTTCCTTTCCATGCTCTAGATCCCGATGGTTCTTGCCATGTTTCAAACGAGAATGAATGATCCTTTCAGTTATTTCTTCATATATATATATCTTCGTACGTATTCTTTATATTAATCCGGCCAACATTTGGTAGAATATTTCGTTTTCTCTTCTCGTGAGGGTTTGGAGTAATAAAGAATAAAGCCAAAAAAACCCATCATTGCAATATAGCTTAATAATTAAGCCAAGCCCATCATTCTTGATTACAAGGTAATAATAGCACTTTTTGAGGAATGTCTTTGGACCCCTCAAGATGAGTGAAGGTAAGAATCACACTCATAGTTGCAAAAGAGAAACTGGAGAAACGGATGATCAAGAGAATCATGAGCCTAGAAAACTTTCTTACTACGAATCACAGAAAATTGAGAACCAATGATCAGGACGCTTTCCAATAGCCTGAGAACCAGAAAAATGTCTAAAAGTAAGTTTACGTGCAAAACAGACCAGTACTCGTATGATGCTGAAAGATATTACTCACAAGTCACAAGGCACGGTGTGTTATCGATAATTTGGTCTGTGATTGTCTCCATCTCTTCTGTGGTTAACCATGTACACGTCCCTTGCCCCATTGTTGTAGCTACTATTGGAGTTGGAATGGTAGGTATTATGGTTCTTGTATGGTCTGTGAGTTACCTCACTCTGTCTGTATGTGCATCCTTCTGCTCTGTGGCTTATCATCATATCTGAGAAGTAATCCAAGTCCCTCACGCCAAGGTTGTAGCCACTGTTCAAGCTGCCATGATGGGTATGTTGGTTCTGGTATGGCCTCCTCTGATGTGTAACTGGAATAGCATGTGTATTGGCATGTGGATTGAACGATGCTTGTCCTTGCAAGGCATCAGAGGCAGGTCTTCTGTTGTAGAAAGCTGGTGGTGGTCTTTGGTTTTGTTGTGTTGAATAAGTATATGAGTTGTAAGGAGGAATGTTTGGACGAGGAAGTTGTGAATGCGGCACATTCATAGGAGCTAATGAACGAGGAGCGTATGTAAGTGGCAGATGTGGTCGAGGAGCGTATGTAAGTGGCAGATGTGGTCGAGGAGCGTATGTAAGTGGCGGATGTGGTCGAGGAGCATATGAATGGGAAGTGTAGGACTTAGGGGGATTCATATTTCTCAACTGTGATGGATTCTTATGGCCCTGTGAAGGATTTTGGTTTGGAAAAGCAACAAGTGAATGATTAGCCGAAATCTGGGTTAGATTCTCATCTTTGTCGTTTTTGCTTGTCTTCGGCTTCTTCACATGACCAGGCTTTTGAAGTCTTCCATCTGGTTACAAACACCGAAAGAGCATTAAAAGAAATCTCCCATATATATATATTAAAACATACCTATAACAAAGAAGACTAAAGCATCTCACCTTTTAGTACATAGCCTGACTTTATTTTCCTTTCTCTCATAACCTTTCTTGCTGCGGCACCGCGGCTATGCTTTTCAGAAAGAACTTTTACTCTGTCTGCTTCATTAGCCCATCGCTGGAATAAGAAAAGGAGCAACCAACTGATGAGCATATGCAACCGGCGACTCATGACTGAATATGAAAAGTAAAAGATTCAACAATTTGAAGACAACCCACCTGCCTCAAGGTCATTAACCTATAAAGATTTCGTCCTTTCACTAGTAATGGATACAGAGGAGGCAATTTATGTGTCCCCTCGCACCAAAGCACTTCAATCTATGGTAAAGACACAAACCATAGAGTTAGCTTATCAAACTGGAAGTCAAAATAAACCAGTCAAAAATATAGAATGGATCAAGCAAATCAGACAATGATGGTCATACTTACAGTGAAAGTGTGTTGTTGTTTAGCAGTCCCATAGCTTTCTTTAACAACCTGACCAGCGACAGTTCTTCTCCCCATAATCTTTCCACTCCAATTCATCTTTTCATACCTATTCAAACCCAAGATCATTGATTTACATTAATACGAAGCTATGAAATCAAATGTGATATAAGTAAACCAGGAACCATAGGTGAAAGAAGTTAATTACTTCTGATGAACCTTCTGTGTAAACAGAACAGTGTCTCCTTTGCAGACATCACCTACACCAATATATAGGACTGTCAATCTCTGCTGAAATTTGTAACAACAACACACACGAATAAATTAGCATATCCAAAACAGCAATACCTTTACAATTGATAACAAAAGATGATCTTGGATACACAGCTTCCCCACTTCCATCTTTAATCCTGAAAGAGATAAGTAGGAGCATGAGAGTGTACATTACATTCCCACGAGAGAGAGAGAGAGTGATAGCACAACTTGATACCTCCAATGCTCAACAATTCTCTCGATACAAACGGCTTTGGTGCCAGACAATCTTAGACCGTACTTCCTCAGATATGCTTTGCACTCTTTTACATTTAAAGATTTCAAATCGCTTCCGGCTACAAACAACAAAATCAGAAATATTCCTTACTGAATTATCATCGCAACAGAGATCTGACTGGCTAGTTAACCAAGTATGAAACAGACACGATTTTGATTGATCAAATCTGTTTGCAATCAACAGTGTTAGGTTAAATAAGAAATTGATGCATACGAAACAAAAAAAGAAAGGATTTATATGTAAACCCTAAATGAGAAAACCTGTGAGGAGGAGAGTGACTTTGTCATCATCATCATCATTATCGCGTTTTCCCCCGGTCTCGTCAGCTTCATCGTATTCAACATCTGACTCCGTAGCATCACCGTCGCTCCAATCGCTATCATCGCCACTGACTCAGACAAAATTCAGAATCGATGAAATAACCCGAAGATTAAGATTAAAGTAACCAAAGGAACCGTAGACAAATACCTTGAATCCGTATCTTCTTCTTCTTCTTCATCCGTTTCGTCATAGTTATTCTCATCACCGAAAGCATTGTCTTCCTCCTCGTCCGTGCTACAGAGATCAATGATTACCTTCTCCTCCGACATGAGAGATCTGTTGAGAGCAATGCCAAGAGAATTCAAAATTTAAGATAAAACGGCTCTCAGAGTTTTTTCGAAATTTGGTAATTTTCCTTTTTTTCTTTAATCCTGAATTTGATAGTGGGGATATTAAAAACCTTTTCGAAAAAAGGAAAGGTTAGATATTTACACATTTGGCGTTGTATTTTTAAGTATTTTATAAGACTTCAAAAGTATTTACAAGACGAAAGGTTTATCCTTTTTCCTTTAATCCAAATCTTTTTCCTTTAACATTTAACCCAACAATCACGTTATTTAAATTGATCTAATCGTATTTTTGAGTTATACTAATTAGAGTAATTGCTACATCATTAATCAAAAGAAAATGGGTGAAATATATTAAATCGGAGATTGAGATTTTTTTTTTTTTTTTTTTTAATATGGTTCTAATTCCAAAAGTGATACAAGACAAGAGACGTCGTTAAAAAAAATATTATACACGACTCTGAACTCTCCGACGCAAAAATAAAAAGAAGGAAGAAAGAAAGAAAGAAGCTTCTTCTATCGATTCAACATTGGATTTCAATTTTACAGACGGACGACACAATTCTTCTACCAACATGGTTTCCATTCATCCCAGTTGTATTCCCCCCCTCACGACCCGAAACTCTAAATACGTACATTGACAGACACATACGTGTAACGTGTACAAGAATTCGTATAGAAGTAGCTTCTGTTGTTAATCTCTGAAGCTGCAAATCATAGGTGATCTGAAGAGATGCAGGCTCTTCTCCGGTCAGTGCTGGGCTTAGCTCGCTGGGAAAGAGACGGGCTTGGTATAGCCTCTAGAGTGGAACGAGGAGACAGTCGGGACACCGTTCCTGTTAGATCTGGAGACCGGTACTGTTGTTGCTGCTGCTGCTGCTGCTGCCCGCTTTCACTGGAGAAAAAGAAGTACGTGTGAAGAAGCTGGAGAAAGCCAAACCATACGCAAAAACAAACAACACAGACAACAAGAAAACAGGTTTCACAGACATGTTTCAGGTTCCAAAAAACATAACAAAAAAACAAAAATCAATGCCAGTGAAATTATGATGGATGGATGATGATTTATTTACCTCTCTGAGGATGTCATGTTTCTAGCCCGTGGAACCTGATCTAGTTTGAAATTTGGTTTCTCCCTTCTACTGCTTGGTTCCTGTAAGGGAGAGATAATTTAATATTAATGAGATTGGCCGGTACATGAGATAATTTGCACGCTTGTATTGAGCTTTTGCTTACCGTTATGTTCATCCCATTGACTAACTGAGAGCAATTCGAGACATCGTTGTTGTTGTTTGGTGAGGTTGGTTGCAGAGCATTCTTTAGGAACCGGTGTTCTAGCAACATAGATGCGGTTGGTCGCTCAGCTGGGTTTCTTTGGAAGCATAATCTCAGAAAATCTTTACCCTCAGCTGACATTGATTCGGGTATCTGTGGGCTATCTCTCATGACCTTGAACATAGCTGCAGCCTATGGTTAAGGCAAAGTTGATACAAAGAGCTTTAGATATCAGGAGAAGTAAGAAAAAAAACTCAATATTTAGACATATGTGTGTGCTTACCCCTTCAAACTCACTCCAAGGAGGCTTCCCAGTGAACATCTCAATGATTGTACATCCTAAACTCCATATATCAACAGCAAAAGCCAGATCTGGGTTGCTATCCTTTTGCATCACAGCTTGCATGAGCTGTGTGAGTAAACAAATATATTAGAGAGAGAGAGAGAGAGAGAGAGTTTGTAGAGTATGTATAGAACAATGACCACCTCTGGTGCCATCCAGTACGGGCTTCCCTTTAACGAAAGATCAGCTCTTTGTCCGGTAAGCTGAATAAGATAAATAGCAACTTTATTATCATCAAACGGAAACTAGATAGTTCAGAGATCCATGATATTCGCATTCTACTGATCACTGAAGAATACAATTAGCAACAGCAAAACTAGACAGAAAATAGAACTAACGTGTTTAGCCATGCCGAAGTCAGCAAGCTTGACAACCCCATAGGCATCAACAAGGAGATTAGCACCTTTGATATCCCTGATGACATTATCAAAATTAGGGAAACCAAAATACTTAAGCTTCAACATCTGGAAAAATATTCACTTAAGATTGATTACAGTAATATAGTGACTTTACCTGTGGACTGTCTTTTTATTGTGCAAATAAGCCAGCCCAGACAAAATGTGACGGGTAAAATTGCGAACAACAGATTCTGTCATGGTACCGCCGCAATGATCACGGATATATTTGTTTATTGAGCCCGGGTGAACATATTCCAGGTATATAAAGAAACGATCTTCTACCTGTACATGCAAAATCAAAGAGTTACTCGATGGATTTCCAGCCATGATGCATTGGGTAGGTAAACTATATGCATATAAACAGAGGATACTCACTGTCTCACTACCAAAATACTGCACTATGTTTGGATGTTGAAGGTTACTTAGAAGTTTGATCTCCTGAGATAAAAGAAAAACGTTATGAGATAGAACAAACGAACAAGCAAACAAAAACCGTGAGTCATATAGGCTCGTGGAGAGCATTGTCTCTCCTGAAACTTACCTGCTCTAATTGCTTTATACACTCTGCGGATTTTGGGTCATCAGGAAAGAGCTCAACTTCCTTCATCGCACACAATGCTCCATTTTCACTGCAAACGAAAATCATCTCAGATAGGCACTAAAGAAAAAAGAAAGCATTCTTGGTACTAAGCAACTGTACGAAAGATAGATACAATGAGTAAGAATTACTACTACCTATTGCTGGCAACGTAAACGCTTCCAAATGTACCACGACCTATTAGCTTCCCCTTCTTCCATTGGGAATTCATCGGGAAGGAATCCTGTTTGAGAGGAGCCTGGGGGCACGGAACAGAAGCAGCTGTTGAAGAGGGACAAGCAGCTCCGGGAGGGAGAGGCAAAGGATGAACATTACAGTTATCACGGCGTCCATTAGTAACATCAGTAGACATCCTCGGATGCAATGGTGAGGAAACACTATCCCGTGGTGCAGCAGAGTGATCAGGCGATAGCATGGAATGCAACGGTGACGATGGCCTGCTAGGCTGAGGGCTTCTGATCTGTCTGCGTGGACTTCGAGGCTGTGGGCTATGGATAGGAGAATTGTCTGTACTAAAGGCGGTGATGTCGTAAAATGCAGGAGGAGGAAGTCCAGAGGTATCAAGTGGCATATCTGGAGCTGACCAAGCTTGATTGCTTTTAGGAGGCAAATAGAAAAAAGGCAAATCATGGCCAGTACTCTTCCTTTGAGGACTAGGCACAGGGCTCATGTACGGACTCGTTGGAGCACTCATGGTCGGAATGCTCACCCAGTAAGCATTTCTGTTTCTCGGACTAAGATCTTGATATGACGAATTCTCCGAAGCTCTCCTCGTGTCACGGGCAAAGCCATTGACGCTGATTAACAGATGAAAAATATATCAGAAAAAAAAACAAGCTGAGATTGCTTAAAACACATTTGAGCCAAAATAAAATGAAAAAAAAAGTTGGGATCAAAGTCTCCAAACCCTAATTGATAACGAAATTGAAATCTACCTTGTGAGAGGAGGACCAGAAGAGGTGCGATCAGCAATAGCTCTCTCGGGTTCTCGATCCCTCTCATCCAATCCTCTGCCGTTTCCGGCGTTCCGATTCCTGGAATCTCCGGCGATCTCCGGGACCGGGAGAGGCAAAGGCAACGGGACGGCAGAAGGAGAGCGAGGAACCCCGGTGAAAGCGCTGGGAGAGCGAGTTAAACCGGAATCGAAGGTGGAAGAAGAGGTAGAAGCACGACGTTCACCCGACAAAACATCGTCATCCGTCAAGTGACGAAGCTTCCTCTGACGGGTGAGCCTGCCGCGGTTGAAGCGAAACAAACGGCGGTGAAATCGATCCCGATCCACCGGATGGTTACGATCTGGATCCGGAGATTCAGAGTAGGAAGCCACGGGTTTTAGAGAAGAAGATGGAGACGAGGAAGGAGACGAGAACGAGATTTGCGGAAGCCAACGCATAGCGAGAGAATCATGGTATGCTCATACAAGATCTGCTGCACATGAATCCTTTTTGATTTTCTCTCTCAACGGTTAGAAACGAGCAGAAGAAGAAAGACGGAGATGAAGGCGATGACGATGAGCATCCATGGAAGAAGAACCCAACGGATTTAACAGAAAAAACAAAAACCAGAAATCAAAAGAAAAAAAATTGTTTCCAAATAAAATTATAACGAAGAGATGAACAAAAGAGTGATTATTTGCGTATTATTATTATTTAGGACCAAATACTATTTTTCTTTTAATATTTGGGAAATTTTATCTTTACTTTTATAAATAAGTAAATCTAGAAGATGAATAACTTGAGAGGCGGTTCGGTCTGTAACACGGTTTACAACGGCTTTTTTTTCTGGTCTATTATAGAAAATATCAAACTTTTTAGAATACATTACCATATATGGGTTTAGTAATTTCTATACCTGAAATTTATTTTTATTTTTAAATTAATTCAGAAAGTTAATTGAATTTAACTATGTGGTCAGTTGTGTAATTTGATATGATTAACTAGGACATTTTAAATTTATATATGGCAATTATCTAACTTTTACATATATAAAAACTTTTGCCGAAATTAACTCACCTTGTCGTATGTTACTATGTTGTGTTCCAATTGATTTCCTCTTTTGTCAAGAACCTACTCAATCACTAGATTATATTTCTCCATTTTCATAAAGTTAGCACACAATTAATAGAAGCTATTAAGAAAACTTTTACCACCAAAAAAGTATAGAACTAAAAGTCTATGGTGTGAAAGGGAAATACTTTAGAAAATGAAGTGGTAGAAAATGTCAATCTCTCTAAATAGACAGGCGTAAAGCCAACTCTAGTGTAAATCCGTACTGTACGGATCACGAGGCATTGACTAAAATTGTTAAAACCTGGTTTAGACCAGCTTAACCCCTTGGTCATTCATTATTTCTAAGCTTAACTAAGCCAGTCAACAAATTTCATTTTAGTACTAGTATATTAAACTGAATTTCTTATATATTCCACTCTACTTTCACATTTTT